ATGAAACGGAACCTTGTTACTCTTGCGAAGCCCTATGGTGCTTCGAGAGACGGACCACTCACTGGCCCGCATTCTTCTTGAGTGGCACTATGCTAGGATATTATTCCTAGATCAAAAAATGTGATTTTTCCGTAACTTCGTGACTGAACTAGAGGATGCACGAAAGAAGGCGAAATGCCTCCATTTTCGCTCTAGTTCGGTTCTATCTCTATAACCGAAAACAATCTATCCTTGGAATGCTTTGAGTGCTCCTTTGATTGCCCCAGGCAGTTGGGCAATGTAGGGGCAGCAACCGCTCTATACTAGGGTCGTGACAGCAGGACTGACTTCACGAGCTGCACGAGGCACAGAACGAGGAGACCACCACTTCACGACTCCACGAGGCTGCAACCAACCAATACGTTGTCAGAAGGATGAAGGCCATGATTGTAAGGCTTCACCCGGTCATGATATCCCCCACTGGCCGGGAACTTGTCGCAATGCAGAGCCGGTGGGAATCCTGTCGCTCCGTGCGGAGTTGTGGAAGAGCACTGCCCGAAGTCCTCGCGAGGCGCTTGGAGAAGTCGACCCGAACGGTATGTACAGAACGGGGCGGATCACAGAAAATGAGAACTTCGTGATTCCACCAAGCTGTGACAAATCAAGCATCAGTCACATTATCTGCAGGCAGTTGTTGCAAGAGTACGTGGGGTTCTTGTGATCCCCTTGTGCGCCGTGCTGCCCGTTAGTACCCAAGGTGTCTGGATGGGGCACGGATGGGATTGCAGCGAGCTGACTAGCTTGGATGCAGCAAGCACTCTCGGATGACAAAAACTAAGGCTGTCTGCATGAGAAGCAGGACGCAGGACCACAGAAAAGGACGGCTTCATGACTCTGCAAGGCTGCAGCAAAATCAAACGTCGGTCATGCTATCCGACAGCAATTGCGACAGCACGCGGGAACCTTGTGAGCCTTGCACCGCCGAGAAGAAGCCCCGCTGCCCACGACCACAGTGGACCCTTCCAGAGACGAACCTGAACGCTTTGCCGAGTGCAGCTTTGATTGCGCCAGGCAATTGAGCCATGTAGGGGCGGCAATGGCTCTATGCAAGGATGGCGACAGCTCTGACTTCGTGCACGAGGTACAACACGAGGGGGGACCACACAGAACAGGAGCACTTCACGACTCCACGAGGCTTCAACCAACCAGCATGTTGTCACACTTCCCGGGCTTGTGTAGCAATGCAGAGCCGGTTGGGATCCTGTCGCTCCTTGCGGAGTTGTGGAGGAGCACTGCCCGAAGTCCACGCGAGGCGCTTAGAGAAGTGGAGCGGATGCGACTGCAGCGAGCTGCCTAGTGTAGATGCAGCAAGCACATAGCAAGCACTCTAGGATGATGAAAGCTGAAACTGGCTGCTTGAGAAACAGAGCGAGGCACCACAAGAAAGGACAACTTCATTGCATCAGAAGACTGTGGCTCCTTGCAAACCTGTGGAGGAGTGCAAGCGCGGTGGCTGCAATGAATCTATGCCGCTGGGAAGGGACTGCAAGAGCCGGCTGGCATCTTCGGTTTCCTGTCCTGACGAAGAGCTGCGCTGCCGAACTCCACGCCTTCCAAGGTTGCAGCGAATTGACGAGTGCACCGGCTACAACAGGGACTCTTGAATGATCCAAGCTGCGCCGATTTTGCATGTTGGTTCGAGACACAGAACGGATTATCGAAAAGGAGAACATCACGACTGCACAAGTCTGCCATCGATCAAAAATCCGTCATGTGATTAAGCGTGTTTTAACGCACATGCAGAACCTTGTGTCCTGGTGCCATTCGGGTGGAGCTGTGTTGCCCACGACCACACGGAGCGATTGGCGAGACAGACCTGAAGGCTTTGCCCAAACCGGCCACGATTGCTGTAACCAGTTCGATAGCGCTGCTGCAGCAACATCTCTAGGACCCTGCGATGAAGATAAATGTGCAAGCTGGTGCAGGAGGCACAGAGAACCACCAAGCAGGAAGACCTCATGAATCCAAGAGGCTGCAATCAATCACCAAATGCTCATACTCATCTGAAAGCATTCGCGTCGGTTTCAAAACTCTGTTCATGGGGTAAGGGCCACGAGTGGGTGAGGTGTCGCATTTCAGATGGTCCGGTATCTGTACAAGGTTTTGGCACGCTGGCTGCCATGTGTAGGACCGGCGGGTGTCGCTCTGCTGGTCAATGGCGTCGCCTTACAGGCTTTTCTGAGGGGCCGTGCTGGGGTGTCGCTTTGCAGGTGGTCGGGTCGCTTTACCGGGTTTTTGTACTTGATGTCCCGCCCTGACTAACTTACAAGAACCGGGGGCTTAGACGGCTCCTCTTTAATATTTGCAGGAAGGAACACTGATCTTCTCACGTTGCTTGTGCTGCGGAGGAGGGGTGGCTTGAGAGACAAATCACAAGACTTGCGGAAGCTGGGCAGACTTCGCACGCCGGTTGCGTAAGGCACAGAAGGGCGTGCACGAAGCAGAACCCTTCAAACACATTGACTATGCTTTCGTCTTAACCACACCTCGCTGCCAGCGATGCAGCAATCATTCTGGCCAGAAAAGAAAGAAAGGTTCAAAAGGTTCAGCATGACCCACTTGGTTGGACACAACATGTGGACAATGTCTGCAGGGCACCGGCACGCGCCCATGTGGGGCCCGAAGGAACATGACCTCTTTAGCAACGGTTGGAGGGATATTACTGATATTCCCACACATGAATACCCATCTTCCTTCAACATGTAGAGCCAGACAGCACATGCCCACAGCGCAATCATGATTTCGTATCCGGTTGCTGGGCAACTACGGTGAGGCTTTGGGAACTACAAACTTCATGCCACTGAAACCCACTGCGAAAGAACTGTATCAAGAGTGTCAATCCCGTATTGAACCCTCATTAACCCCTTGAACCCCGTTTTCAAACCCCTATGAACCACTTCCAGCGAGTGGCATTCGACTCTCCCCTTTATTGTCCTATGAATAGCCGCCTTTGGGGATGGACTCAATGGGCTATTTTCCATAACAGGCGGGCCGCCTTACTGTGAAAGAAAACCCTTACTGGCTTGCTTCGGCTGCCTTCGTCCTCTCATTTTGTATTCAAGGCCGGTGATCATATTGCGGCGATTTCATGCACAATGTCGTTCAAAAGCCCAAAAACATCACTACTCTATCACCTACCCTCAACCGTGATACGTGATGAGAGGAAAGAAGTAAAAACTCCGTTGAGATTGTTTTACTATCTGTTCGTATCTTGCCGCCTTTCATAAACATGGCCAAGCCTAAGAAGTAGAAGTGAAGTTCACACGCATTCTCCGGCTCTCGACATGCAGCACATGCATTCGCGAAACCCTGCAAGCCAGTAGCGAAGTGCCTTTAGCAAGATATTTCTTAAATATTCCTATCCCAATAACTGTAACTCGCAGCAGAAAAAACATGCAAAAACAAAATCCGAGCAAGATCTTCCGAACATACTACACAATGTAGCTTTCGGGCATCCGCTACAAGCCCATGCAAAAATTAATTTCGCACCTGTTTATTGCACAAGAACTTGCCTAGAGCTTGCAGCTAAATCGATAACAGATCTCGGGACGATTCAGAATATGCAACGAGAATAACATATCTCCATATCATGGCTTTCATGTCTGAACAGCTTGACCAATTCTTTTGGCGCCTTTGCGGTTTCGAGGTCCCGGCAGCGGGGCTTCTGGCTGGCACGAATAGCTTTAAGGTCTTGGCCTCTCGAAGTTGTGCCTTCGAGCATCCTCTAACCCTCTACGTTCCATGATACAAGCCGATCATCGCTAACGTTGTCCAGCCCTGCAGCCTGCCCCTGCGTGATACGCGATACCCTCATTCCACACTGTACTCAGTTTAGAAACCAGTTCAGCATGACTCGAACTCGTCGTGGGTGTACAATGTGCATGCCATACTTTCGTTTTAGGCTCCACGCGAAACATGGCATGGCTCGCGCCCGCGCGGCCTCCCCGCCCACAACATCGGCTTTTTACGGCAACAGTTGGCAAGGCCAGGTTCTCACGGCGTAAACGTCAAGGCGCGCCTAATGGCCGTGCCACGTTCCCAGACCTGACAAATACGAGAGTCTTCTGGCACAAGAATCAGTGCAAGGAGGACCCCCCCCCCCCTTGTGAGCAACAAAGCCGCACTCTTTCGTGTGCCGAGGGATGTGGTCTGCTGTCTGCTGCAAAAGACAAGAACATGCAGGCGTTGTTCTCTTGTGCATAAGCCTGACGCCCTGCAACATCCGGCAACATGCATCAGTACTCGCCTTCCGTTTGTTCTTGGGTTTTGTTTTCGTTCTTTTTGGCCTTCTTGCACCTCGATGTTTTGACATGCTGAAGGTTGCGGTGGCTCTCGGAAGAGGCAAGGCAGCAGTCCTGGCGCCGCTGGCGCTGAGGCTTGCTGACGATTGCTGAATCTACACTTCAATGGCTCTGCAGCACCTCATGCCGACACGCAGGCCCTGGTGCAACTGACGCTAGGCTGAGGCCGAACATCTCCTCAAGTACCGCCTTCGCGCATCCAACCCCCGCACGTGCTGCTGAGACGGGGGTCCCAACTCGAGGTGCCTACTTCGCGCAGTTCATACTTGAAACATCATAAACATCTCTCACGTCCACGGACCTTGACTTCAATCCTCGGAGTTTTTGCGGCGACTCTGTACAAAAGCCCGCTCGGGGCTTGTCTCAATATGCAGTGGCCTCAGACAAATTGCTCCGTGAAGCAAAAAGCATCCTTCATACTCGACTTCTCTTTGAACACTGACGGAGACCCACAGCTTTGAGACGTCTCTCAGTCTCTCGCTGTACATAGCTCCACTAAGCCCGACTTGAGGCAGGCTTTGTGCCCGAAGTAGCTGGAGAAGGCCGCGGGATAAGCAAAATTAACTAAACAAGTACTAAACTTACTAAACACTTGTGAAGAAGGACGCTCCGCATCGTGGCGCGCATCCCTCACCAACAAGATCAAAGGCTCGGACAAGCTCAGACTGGCGTGATCTCCGTCCACCGGCTTCGGCACACGAAGCACTGTCCCAGCTGAGGGCTGTTCTCGAGCTCAGGGTTCCTTTGAAGCCGTCGGCGGACATCTTGGAAGCAATCCCCACACATCACTCGGTGGTTGCAGGGTCGGAAGGCATAGCTGGCCTCCTCCGAAAGGCACAGCGCGCACATCTCCGCATCGGTGCCGGCGAAGGCGCTGGCCTCAGTGCCGCCATGTGGCTCTGTAACATCGGACTCGGCAGGCTCGGGCAGATGTCGGAGACTCTCCTCGTCATCCCTCCTGGCCGACATTGTGATGAAGCTCCGGAAGCCGTCCAAGTAGCAGAGTCGGACGCGCTGGCGCAAGCCTGGGTCCTCTGCTAAGGCCTGGTAGCCGGAGTGGCAAGTGGCACGCCAGCACCAGAGCTCCACCCTCCATCCGCACTCAGCCACGTATCTCACCAGGTCCACGTGCCTGCCATCGCCGGTGCAAACTGCGAGAACATGCTCATGGCGACTGGCCCGCTCCCTCTCCAAGTCCTGCAAGAGGGCCATGACGTTGTCTGCCAAGGAGGACTCCAACTCCAGCTCGAAGCCGCAGAGGCTGTAGAACCACCAAATGGGATGATTGGTCCGCGTCTGGTGGTCGACGACTGCTTGATCTCCGAGCTGCCGGACCCCGGCCACAACGTCGGTAAAGCGCGAGATGTGGAGCCTGCGGCTTGCGTCCCGGCCCTGCGGAAGGACCTGAGCCCCCAAGGACGTGTTGAGGTTGTCGACGAAGACGTGCACCGTCTGCTGCGCCTCCTGCCAAAAGACACAGCAGCGTATCATAGTGTGTCACTCGCAGTCATAGCATGATGTAGACAGTCACGACATGCGCGAGACATGTCTTGACAGGTCCCTGTTTCGTCATGTGTCGTTATCTTTCCCTATGTTTCGTCATGTTTCGTCATGTTTCGTCTCCTGGTCCAGCTGCCGCTCGGCCCGGGCAGGACTCCTGATCTTCAAACCCTGCTGCACCGCAAGTTTCAAACACGAGACACGCCTGAACAAAAGATGGAGCACTACGGAGTCATCACGGTCAGAATATGTACACTACCAAATTTGCCCAAGCTTCCGGTGATGGTTCCGGAAGGAGACCAGATGCAACGCAAGCGGCTCGCGTGCTTGCTCCACAGCCTGGCGATCTCGCAGTTGCACAGGATGGTGGCGGGGAAGGGGGAGGAAGGAGCTCGGAGCCCTCGCTTCAACACTCCGCTGCCTCCGGCACTCCCACCATCTCCAGGACGGCGTCACCGCCATCGTCGTCGTAGATGTTGATCTCAAGGCAAGATATATGTATATATGTGTATATATATATGGGCACCACGGGATTAGTCTACATCTGGCATCTTGCACAAGCGCATCTCACACGAAACCTCAAAAGTGACTCGCATGGGTTACCCGGCTACCATGGACCGCAGCATGCTGGGGCGAGCCCGGCGTGCCTGAACGCCCAAATCCCTCGTCAGGAGGTCCCGGACGCGGTCCTCCGGCCCGATCACGCGCCGAACCAAGTTCCGGTGGATCGGGATCTGCTCCTCGTCTGTCGAGTTTACTTTGAAAGGCAGACGTGGGAGCGAAGAGCCCAGGATCACACAACATGTCACAGCCCCAAAGTTGTTTTTCACCGCGCCATGCTTCCGTCATCTCCTGCCTGCGCGAGGCTGCCTGAGCAAGCTCCATGTAGACCTCCTCGCACATCTCCATCTGCCAATCCTCTGTCACTCGGACGGGACGGCTGCATACAAGCTCCAAGCCACGGTCTCCGAGGCGGAACTCCCAAAACTCATCGAGGACGCGTTGCTCTCGCGCTAGCGGCCTCAGGTGGTAGAGCAGGCCACCCTCAAGCAGCCTTCGCGTAGCTTGGTCAACCTCGACGACACATGCTACGTGTCCATCTCGAGACCTCCCACGCACCCCACGGGAGGGCTGGGAGGAAATGGGCCGTTCTCGCATGTCTGCCATGGTTTTGAGCCACTTTGGCTGTCAAACCCCCGAGTGCTCAGATCTCGGCCGCTGCACAACCGGCATCTCCGTTCGTGCTATTCCTGTTTTCAATTTGAATCCCAATTCCACACAATTTCAGTTTCAATTTCAGTAAGATTCCAACAAATATTCGCCTCGGCTTCCTGCCGAGAAGCGTTTGGAACAAGCAAACACGGGGATCCGCTCTCCTTCCCCCTAACCCAACCCTTCCCCCGCACGCCAAATTTTGTGACACAACCCCCCCCCCCCACCCGCCCTGGACCCCGAGCTGCAAACCGATGCCGTGGGGGGTCCTGTCAGCGGCTACTATAGAGGGGGCGCTCCATTGGTCCCTTCCTTGGGATTCGACCCCTTTTTTTGAGGCCTTTCCCAGAAACCCTGCCGGCCCTGGGAACCCTGCCGGCCCAGCTGCCGAGGCGGCGCGCGCAAGCGTTTACACTTGGTCCATTCGGGAGGCATGTAGCATCGCCAACTGCGCCCTTTGACTCGCCAGTGCAGCATTGGCAGCATTGACTCCAAGTTATGTCCTTTTGCCTTCGTTGGAAGTCTGAGGGTGAGGGTGCGAAGCGGTACGACACAAAAAGATGAGGCTCTTGATTCTCAGCACTTGCGGCTTCCGAAGACTGGCTTGGGTGACACATCACTGGCAGTGCGCGCACGGTAGGTCCGAAATGCCCGCCTAGGCTGTGCACATGTGTGTAGAATTCTGTGAATCGGCTGGGCGATTTCCAGTCTTGGCTCAGCTCTAAGCTTCCGGCAGCTTCTTGTGGTGGTGGCTCACTCCCGTCCTACAACTGGGTTTCACAGTTGAATAAAAGAGAAAGGAGTCCGGAATACAAGAATGCGCAGGCTGCCTTTCTGCAAGGATCCTGCCACTGAGCTATCTCGCAAGTCATCACTCGCCAAGCTCGGCACTGCCGCATTCGGATGCACTAGACAGGCGCGGCGAGCCAGGCACTGGCCTGCCCTGTTATTCTGCACACTGTACACAACTAAAGCAACAGGAAAGCAGGTCCACCACAACAAGTCAAAATCTGCACAGGCTATCGGCTATGCCCGCCGGAGCCAGTGGCCGCTGAAAGGGTTGATGACCAGGGCGTTGAGCCACGCGGCCTGGAGGGGCAGCACCGTGATGGCGTTGTAGAACCTCCGTCCGGTCTGGCTCCGCTGGGGCACGAGGACGAGGGCCACATGGGCGTCGTCTGAGCCTGGCTCTGCCAAGCTGAGAGGAAGCAGCCAGTTGATGGAGCCGCCCTGCGTGCTGTTCCGGTCAGTGAAGTACTGGGGCACTGCCACGTGCGGGGAGATCCGTGCTCTCCTAATGGCCCACTGGATGCGCTGGTTGATGTCCGCCGCGCTGAGATAGGCAAAGCCCGCTGGGATGCGGGCCGCCCGGGCCTCGTTCTGGATGGTGTGCGCCGCGACGCCTGTGTTGTTGACATGGGCCGTTGGGTCGAAGGTCATGTCCTCCAGCGGGGTCCCCTCGAAGCAGCAAGGAGGCCTGGGGCAGCCGTCCTCCTCCAGCGTGCAGATGGCGCCGAGAATCCGCGCTGGGGCGAGGAGCTGGCGGGCGCTTTGCTGCACCATGTACTGCATCCTGATCTGGTTGGCCAGGTCTGCAGAGGGGAAGACGTGGTGCACCAGGAGTGCACTCAGGCTAGGCTCCACGCGGTCCCGGAGATCTGGTACCAGCACAAGCAGCAGGCAGGACTCGGGATCCAGATGCACGGTCATCAGAGAGTTGACTAGGATCAGGAACACCTCCTGCGATGCTCCCTCCTTCAGGGGATGCGGAATCACTTTACGTGATTTGTTCTTCTTCCTTTTCTTAAGGTTCGGACGCTCCAAGCACTGGCTCACAACGTTTCATGCCGCTGAGTCGTGCCTTTTATTGTCTTTTTGCAGCATGTTCGTTCGGTACTACAAAACTTGTTGCTGATCCTAGCACGATGAGATCCTGTCATGTCGCAGTATGTTCACGAAAACAGCACCCCTTCCTCCAGCCCGAACCACGTGAGGGTAGGGGACCTCGTCGACTCGGCATCCGACTCCCGAACGTGTCTGTCGATGCGGTGGTAGAGGCTGTGGCGGAGGAAGTTCTCCAAGGCCCTGGCATCAGCGATGGGGAAGTTGGTGAGGTGCGGCGGTGCGAGCTGCTGGAAGCGGCGCAGGACATAATCCCCGAAGCGGATCTCCGGGCCGAAGCTCAAGCCCTGGAGGCGGCTCGTGTGCCACCGCGGCAGGCCTGGGAGCTGGCTCCAGGCTCGCACCAGTCGTGGAGGCTCCTGGAGCTCCCCCTGGAGCTCCCCCTGGAGCTCCCCCTGGAGCGCCTCTGGGAGCTCCTCTGGGAGCTCTTCCGGAAACTCGCCATCCAAAACCTCGAAGCTGCTCTCGTCCTCATCCTCCTCGTCCTCGTCCTGGTCGTCGGACGAGGAGCTGGAGGCGGGCTGGACCGAGCGCGAAACCTCCTCAGGTGTCTAGCACATGACAAAGGCACAGCAACTTCATGAACGTCGTAAGCCCACGAAGTGCTTCAGACTGCCGAGGTCTCGGCCTGGACCGCTTGATGGTTGCTTGATGGCGGGCTTGACGGTGTGCTCTGCGAGCTGGCCTCAGGAAAGGGCCGCGACATAATCCGGGCACCTGTTTGATTAATACCCCCACATTTAAAGATTTTTGTTCGCCGAGAAGCCCGCCGGGAGACTACTTTCCATTACGGCGGATTTCGTATGGGCCAATACTACCATATTTAAAGAAAATGTTTTGGGGGGGTTCCAAAAACTGTCGGCAGGCTTCTTGTTTTGCTTGCTGAGCTGCGAAGCTACAGCACCTCAGGGATCTGCGGCCTATTGTTTTTCATAGAATCAATACAGGGCCATGGTCTTACTGTTGCGGAACCCTGCCTTTCTTATTGTGGTGGGGGGGGGGGCCCCCAATTAAACAGGTGCTCGGAATACTGCCGACATCTAGGACTGCAAGTGATGTCAGGGTTTCTCAGAGTAGGGATGTGTCCGATAAACATACTTTTCGGAGCAATCGCGCATGCCTCAACACACTTCCCAACCAACCGTTCTGCTACCGTTAGACGAGCTGCCGAAGTCAATGCCACTTGCGAAGGTTGGAGTTGCATCTGCGGCTCGGCTGCCAAAACTGCAGTCGGCGCAGAGCTGGCCTGCAAAAGGGTGAGCATCGTCCTACACGAGTCAGTCGACACCTCAAGAAGCCGCCTCATGATACATCCTGGCCTGCACTCGCAGATTGTGCCCCGAGACATATGCCATGGCCCCGCCCACGGCAACCTCATACTCGTCGTCCCCCAAGCTCCTCACCACAAGGCACGTGTCGGAGCCCAGATCGTCGGCAATCTGTGGGTCGACAATCGCCGCCACAGAGCCCAGCACCTGGGTCTGCCGGCACAGCTTCGAGATGCTTACGAGGAGCTGAAAAGCCGACCCGAAACTCGAAACTTGTCTACGTGCGCAATCCTCAATTAAAAGTGGTATGAAGGCAGTGGACAATCACCGAATCCGCTGGTGGAGGCGAAGGCAAGGCGTGTGGCTCGTCTAGATCTGCTCCTGCGGCAGGAACATCGCCCTCCCCAGCCATGGCTTGGGGAAGCGGTCGATTTAGGCTTGGGGCCATCTTGGCTCCAAATGCAGAAAGCTCAAGGGTCGCACACCGGCGCCCTGCGCGTGCCAGGCGGCATCGGTGTCACACAAGCTTTGGTAAATGGGAAGCGAATGTCACAAGCTGATGCGCAGCACGCGAATGTGAATTCGCCTGGCCTCCTTCTCAGACAGGCAGACATGGTCAGCGTCACCTCTCCAAACGTGCAAGTATAGATTTACCCTTGGGTTCGCTCCCAAAGAGCTAAGCATCAAGCAGCGGGGCCAGGTTTATCTGAAACTTCATCTTGCACGACTCCCGCGAAGATTCCCCTACCTCTCCGACAGCCAGGAGCACCCTCCTTTTACGATGAGGCATGCTGCCATGTGCATGTTTCCAAGTCTTTACACCTCGACTGTGCAAAGCTGCCAAGCACCCCGCCTACGGAAGCACGAGAGCAGCTACAGGCATGGATGATGGGCCCTGGCAGAACCTGGGCTGGAAGCCAGTTGGGACAGCGTGGTAAACAAGAATATGAAATCTCCAAGAAAAAACATAAAAACAAAAACAAACAAGAAATGAATCCGCCATGGGTGGTAAACTGATGATGTTACTCACAGGTGGCGCGATGGGCGTTTCCTCCGAAGCCGCGAGAGCTGCATCATAGTGGCCCGAAGCTTGGCGGTGGGAGAACACCAAATACATGGCCTGGAACCGGAAAAGACGTGCACTTCCAGCCTACTTTAATCTCGACTTCTACTCTTGTCTTTGGTAGTAGTGGTGTAGTGGCATTGGTTGTGGTAGTGGTTGTGGTAGTGGTAGTCGTCGTGGTAGCGGTAGTGGTAGTGGTAGTGGCAGTGGCAGTGGTAGCAGTAGCAGCCGTAGCAGTAGCAGTAGTAGTTGCAGCAGTAGCAGAAGCGGCAGTCGCAATAGTAGTAGCAGTCGCAACCATGGCAATAGTAGTAGCAGCAGCAGCAGCAGTAGCACCCGTCGCACTTTAATTTGATCGCACGCTTTCCTGCTGGTGTTCTTTGCACGTGCTCCGCCTGTTATTACCTGTTGCTTGCGTGGAGGGGTCGGGGAAAAACAATCCATTTACATGGTGACCATGCCCAAAATACAGGTATTTACAGTGTTCGTGCCTGCTTCGGGATCAAGATACTTTTGCGAGCATAATGAACAATGGCATTTGCAGCTCTTTTCCCCTTTTGTACAACATCCTGCAGAAGTTAGATGTTTCTGCAACAAACTGTCACAAGCGTACTGCTGCTGCAGCTCAACACCCATTCAAATTCCAGGCCTCCGCATCTTCCTCCGCATCTTTGACCCGGCCGCCCCAAATTGAAAGCCCCCGTGTCAGCAGCCGCCGGTACACCGTGGCCAGGGCGACCAAGGTGATGTAGTCCGCTCGATGGCCACCCTGCCTCATCTGATCCAGGAACTCGTCCCAGGGGCAGCCCAACTTCTGAAAGACCTCGAAGGCGAACTGACAGCTACCACGGATTGCCACAAATGTTTCGCCAGTGGTCTGAATCTGTGTTGCACTCAATGGGAATTCCTGCTATCATATTGTTCGTTGCCCAAATAACCGCTCCTGCCCCATGTTAACACAGATCCATCTGTCTTGATGGCTGCAAATCCTTGCCTGGAAGCCTGGAATGTTTTGCAGTTGTTCTCGAGCCACCCTTTTCCGATGGATCCCCACGTCACCGCGCGCTCATCCCCAAGGACAGCTGCAAAAGCAGTATCCGATGCCTGGATGCTCTTGACTTTCACTAACTGATCCTGGACGCTGCTGCTGTCACCCCGAAATTCTCGATCGCCCCAAGACACCACAGAGCCATCGGCAAGAATGGCCGCAAAAGCACATCCCGAAGCTTGGATTTGCATCACACTTATAAACTGATCTTGGACGCTGCTGCTGTCCCCTCCAGAATCTGCATCCCCCCAGGCCACCACTGAGCCATCTTCAAGGATAGCAGCAAATGCACCTGTGTCATACCGTCGCAAAGGATGAAAAAAAGCGCATCTCCTTTTCTGCAGGTCCATCGCCGCTACCTTGCCAGTTGCTTGGATGCAGCGTACGCCCTTCAGTTTGCTTGGAACCTGGCTGCTGTCACCGCCGCAGTCCCGGTCACCCCAACTGACTACAGAGACATCTTCCAGTATAGCAGCAAAAACACCACAAGATGCCTGGACTTGCCGCACTTTTCCCAGATTATCTCCAACCGCGCTGCTGTCGCCGCCATGCTGCGGAGAACCCCACGCCACCAGAGAGCCATCTTCCAGAATGGCGGCGAATGCACTTCTTGACGCCTGGACATCCTTGACACTAAACAGTTGATCTTGCACCTCGCCGCTGTCGCCGCCATATTCTGCATCGCCACACGAGATGGCGGATCCGTTGCCGAGAATGGCCGTGAAGGCTCGGTCAGTCAACGCGCGATCTTCGCGACTCGTGGCTGCGCGACCGCCTGTAAACGGACATCGTCTTCCAGGCCAGCTTCCCGCAGGCTTCCTCTTGGAATAAGCGCCTTCTGACCACCAAACAAACGCACAGAAACCAAGCCGAACTCTTTCAGCACCTTGTCAACCAGCTTCTCGACACACCAATCTGAAGCAGCAACAAGTTCAACTCCATTGCCGCCAAGCAAGGATACAAAGACTCTCATGGTGTTCGGCTTCGGCAAGACATCTCAATGCACAGCAGTCTGCCTAGCCCAAAGTAGAATCGGACGTCATGGAGCTGCAGATGTAGAATTTGTTTTCACATGCTTCCCGTGCCGCAACAGCCCTAGTAACCACTGGTAACTACTAATTGCCGCTCGTTGCCTACCGTGCCGGGCCACACACACAGAGTTGAGCGAAATCAACCACAGCATCTCGCTGGAGTCTTACGACACTCCTCTTTCAAAACACTGCGTCATTGTGGTAACATCCGCTATGACCACAAGGACGAGCGCAGATGAGTCACAGGCCAGCCCTGCACTGCATGCGATGTATGCGATGTCGAAAGGTGGATTCAGATGGGGAGTTAGCACACCGCAACATGTCAGATGCCCGAAGCCTGAAAACCCTCAGCACCGACGACCAGACCCTGGAACAAAGCCCATCATGGTCATGGTCTTACTTTCAGGTCCACGAGTGTCCAGGGCCAAGATGGCTCCATCGCTGGAACACGGACTTTTTGAGTCGATCAGTGCGGGCGGGGAAAGCGCGGAAAGAAGCACAAGACCAACGATTGGCATGTGACATGGTTGACCCTCCTTTGAGAGCGGCGAGGGTAGCAGCTCTTGACAACTGGGAACACAGCCTAACGGCCTAACGATTAACGAAGCGAGCGATGTTGGCGCTTGTTTTCTTGTGCCAACTATTGCAAGCTGAGGGAACTTAACTTTGGGGTACCAGTCAGTCTTAGTTGTCAAGGACTGTTGTGCATGGATCATGTGCGACGGCCAACATGCTCCGATGCGGGCAGTCCCATTGGGAAAGTTTGCATAGCTGCGTCGGAGGATGATTTCCCACAGCAAAAGGCTAGGGGAGTCCACGCTTGATGCCTCTGGCATCGCCATCCCGCCAGTCCACCTCTGGCCCTGATCCAGCCCTGCTCCTCTGGGTCTTGTGCAGGTGATAACCCATTGAAAAGTAGTCAGTCAGGTACAAATGACAGGACATGTTTAGGAAAAACCTGCGGCTCCTGGCAGGCAGATCTGGGCCTAGAGCTACGTCGTAACAACAGCTCTGGATCTGCAGATCACAATTCGGAGGCACAGCACAAGGGTCGCAGACCCCCACAGGCTAGATCAGTGCCCTGACTGCATCTCGGTGAGCTGCTAAGTACCTCCTGTCAAGGTCTTTGGGATACCACTGCTGATTGTGCGTAATTTGAACAAGCCGGCACCAGCATGGTAGTATCTGGCCACCTTCCAGCTTGGCCAGCTCTACCACCTCATTGCTGGGCCTGTCGGGCTGCTGGCCCACCTCGAAACACTCGAGGTGGTACTGGCGTTTTTCTGGAAAGCTGCCTTTGATGTTGAAGTGTTTCCTGCCAGCGTTTTCACTGTTGTGAAGGGCAGCGGAAACGGAGAAGGTGGCATCTTCCAGTACCAAAAGGAGCCTCTGTGAGGCTCCTTTGGTTTTGGCATTGGTGTTGCTGCCACTAGCATGAACCTTCAACATCTCATAAACTTTGGAAACGGTCACTTTCAAAGCCTCCGCCTCCTCGAGGGTGCGGGCCCCCTGGACAAACTGCGGCAAACCTTTCTGCCTGGTGTCTGGCTTTGATCCCGCTTCGAAAACCGTCCAGCCATTGGCGCCGGGCACCTTGAAGGGCAGGTGGTGCAACCTTGACAGGTAATGCTCAAGTGAGTTGATGAAGCCGGCTCGGTTCAGCACGTTCTGGTCAAAGTCCTTGCTCACGAGGTTACCATCATCGTCTCCTGCTCCGAGAACCCTATTTTCTCTTTGGAATTGTGCCTATGCTGGGCTGCCCCTCATTCCTGCAGAATTACTGATTGCAGATTGGTAAAAGGATGAAAGGTATCGTCTGGGCTCCTGCGCGCCACATAGCAAAGCTGTTGTCGTCCAAGACAGGAACCGGGAAATCTTCCAAGATTTCCTCGCACCTTTGTATTTTGTCCTTTGCCTCCTTAATCTCAGCCTCCAGCTCCCTGAGCCTTTTCCTTGTCAAGCCCGGGCGGGCAAGCTCAGCTTCTTTAGCTCTTAAACTTTGCTCCTTCTGTTGGATGTCGTCTAAGGTGTCATGAAGCTTGGTCTGCGGCTTCTCGTACTTCTTCTCCGCACTGCCGAATTGTATTCTGTCTGCGGACTCCTTCATTGCGGCCTTGTCTACCTCTATTTTCACATAAGATACATACACGGGGCAATCGCGGATCTCACTGCCCGCCATGGGCAACACCAAGTACTGCACCTGAAGAAAACCCGAAGTGCCACGGAAGTCTTCGATCTTGGTGGCCTTGCCTGAGTTTGAGGGCTTGGTTTGGGCTGCTTTGCTTGTTGATGCTGCGAACCCAGGGCGAATGGGTCCCACCGGCAAGAATAACCGACGGAGTCATGTCTTGAAAAAAATTTGACTTGGGTTGGATGGCTTCACTCCACAAATGAGGCAATGAGAAAAAACAAACAAAAGAGGCAGAGAAGGTTCTGAAGACAAGGCCCCGTCGCTCAGCTCCGGTATCACTTCAATGCGGAGCTCGTCTGAAAGCGCGCGACTCGGCTGCCTTGGTGGCTCGCCCGAAAGGCTCCAGGGCTCCACCTGGGGAGTCAAAGCCCCACACCGCTTCAAACCGCAAACCTCAATCCCAGCTCAAACCCTCAACCCGGATGCGCCAGCTCTGCCTTCTCTTGGTCCTGTCTGACCGGCTTCATAGACTGAATCGGAGCATCAGGCTTTAGCAAGTAGAGGCTGTGCACCGTGAGCGATACGACCTTGTCCCGAACATCAGGCCGGAGGACAGTTGCCTGCCAGCTTTGCAGATCAGTGGACATGTTCACCTCCTGAATGCGGTTGGCAATCTCTGTCTCAATGTCCAGATATTGCCAACTGCGTTGTAGCTTGTCCCGGCCCTCAAAAAGGACGTGGAGGACCATCTGCTGTAAGACTTCACACTCCCGTGCTGCTTCCGGCCTAGGAACTGTCTCGTCCAGCAGGACAAAGCTGCAGACTGCCTCGCGCATCCTCTCCCTCTCCGAATCCTGGGGCTTTCTGATGTGCCCCTCTGCAAAGGTACGGCACAACGCCTGCTGCTCAGCTGCAATTTGCTCCATTTTGTAACGCTGCTCGCCCTCCAGGAACTCCAAGCGCTGCTCACGCTTCTCACGCTCTACTTGCTGCACCCGCTCGGTCACAAGGTGCTCGTGGTGTTTCAGGTGTTGCACGTGCTCAACGTAGCAATCGTAGAGCTGCCAGTCCGTGAAATAAGTAAGCTCCATGTAATGTTTCGCATTCTGAGATTTCGATGGCTTGTTCACAGCTGTGCCGGGTGGCAAGAAAGCCACAACTCTGGCCACGTTGATGTTGGCATCCGCAAAAGCTTTCATGAAATCGACAGATGCATTCAACAGAAACACTGGCACACAGCCATGGTCCGATGATGTTACGCATGACAACTGCTGCAGCCACTCCGTCTCAGTGATTCGAACTGGACGCTTGCCACGACTAATGCAAACTTCACCTGAGGAAGTTCAAATGCAAGCAAAAACATTGCGTCATCCCTAGGGTTGCAGTCACAACGACTATGGAAGCCCCAGGCACAGAGACTGTCTAGGAAGTCGCCGAAAACGCAACCATCCGGATCTGAGCCCTGCGGCGGTAGGACTGCAACCTCTTTGAGGTCTGCCTCCAGAACATTGTTCCAGAAGTTGGTTGCGAGCTTGGTCATGCAAGTCGTGTAAGACCACCTGGCAGCTTCCAACTTGGACCATCTGTGTGCAACTGCCATGCTTCTATCATGCTTCTAGTGTGGTGTTCCCAACTTTGGCAAACCCAGCTTGCTGGCTTCCGAGTCCGTGTCTCCGCTCCTCTTCCTCTTTTGGTAGTCAGCCCTCGGTGTCTTGCCGAATACGGTACATGTGCCAGGCGGCCGTACCTCGGACAGATTCAGATTCATAATATGTATAACATGATGCAAGGGATGAGTGCACGGTGTACCGCAGTACCGTAGAGATTGGCACAGCCATCGCACCTCCGATCAATCTCTGGGCCCTTGGGCATTTAGATGGAAAACGTTCTGCGAACCCTAAGGCCCGAGTAGGGCTCCCTGATGGGGCAGGGTGCCGGTAACGATGCGTCCACCATGACGGCCGAATGCACAGGAAGCTATAGAATTTATCTGCCTGGTTGCAAGGTTTAAGCATTCAAGTTGAAACCTTGCTTCCTTTACTTGCGGAGGATTCCCATACCGTAGCTGCTCCGTGCATAGTGCAACCAAATATACACAACATGCCGCGACATGCCTTCACCTCATACCTGGGGAGCCATGCGTGAAGAACAGGGAAGCAAGCAGAATTGTGGAGCTGCAGGATCATTGTACAGTCAATAAAGGAGCAAGAAAGTGCTGCATGGAGCATTCCCTTCGGGGCTGGTGCTTCTACATTTTTCCGCTCCCTTGGCAAAAGTCTTTGCGGGAGCGCCCTCAAAGCCGAGGGTCGAGGCGCTGTCCGGGCCAAGTGCTTTCCTGTACACAGCTGTACACAGATCCGACACGGAGCACACGGAGCTGGCTCCAGGCTTCTGGCAGCGCTTGGCAGAAATGATCTCTCTCTCTCTACCGGTAGCACCCTGCTTATCCAGCTCTGACACTATACCTCCAATACACAGATGGAAGCAAGCAGGGCGCATGCGTGAAAAAGAGATAAGGCTGACAGACGTGCTTTGCCAGCACAGAACTAGCCAGAGTTTAGGCAAGGGCACGGGCCGGGCCTGAACCTGAACTATACAACCCATGCTGACTTCAATTCCCACAGCCTACAACGTCCTCCTGTCCAGCATTTTGGGTGCGACCCTGCCCGAAACTACATGGGGGTCCCGCAGTACGGGCGCCCCCGCGAGCGGTTGGCACGCGCAGCTCTTCGGGCCAGGTACTCCTGATGTCGCTCTTCTCTTGCGGCCTGCCGCTCCAGGTACTCCTGCTTGGGCAGGCGCGGGGGTGGTAGGTTTAGCGGCGTAGGGGCTTGGAGCTGGTTTCCATGGGCCAAACAATTAGTCATCATTAATTAGTCTTGCGCAGACGGATGGCTGGGGGGGGAATTTTCTGGTCCGAAAACACGGGCACTCTGAATGCATGCACGAACTTGAAAGCTCAAGGCTGCGCTTCATGCCTTTCTTCCAAGTTTTGGGCGACCACAGCTTACACTCTCGCACCAGCCTGGCTCGTACCAGCTTCAACCCACCTCTGGAAGCCTTGTTTTTGGGACTTCTGAGGTGCTGCACCGGCTTGAGAGGTGCCAGAAATATGGCAGCAGCTTCGGAAGCTGAGCAGTCCTGGTGCCTCCGCTCGCGCTCAGCCTGCCGGATAAGGTACTCCTTCCGAGAACACACACAGGGCAGTGCAAGTTGAGGGCTGATGAGGCGATCTCATGAAATCTCAGCGCGTTTCGGCAGCGAGTGTCCTGGTGCCTCCTCTCCCTTTCCGCCTGACGGCGCGCCTGCTCAATCTCCCAGGCCCGGCGCCGCTCCTCCTTCTCCTCCTCCAGGAGCCGGAAGCGCTCCTCCACGGCCCAGGCGGCGGCGTCCACGGACTCCGGGGTGGCGTAGACCTCCACAATGCCATCCTGCGCCAGGATCGTGGCGTTCATCTGCGCCTCGAAAGCTTGCAAGGCACTCCCACGGCGGCCCACGAAGAGGCCGATGAGACTCCGCTGGCTCTCTGGCAGGCGGATCACCCGAACATGGTTTCTGGCTTGGCGCTCGACGGTGGCCACGTCCACCGCCTGCGTGACCTCCGGCCACGTCGGATCCACCAAGGCGACATTCCGCACAAAGGCCCTGCTGGTGCGAGTGAGCGTCTGGTAGGCCACCCATCTGCCGGCAGCCTGCGGCGAGGCCCCACGCTGAACGGATGAGGAGGGGTGCAGGAACACTGCACTCGCCGCGCTGGCAACCCGACCGTCTTGGCCCTCCTTGCCAGCGCCGTCCGATGGGGGATCGTCGCTGGAGCTGCTGCCTGCTCCGCCTGCACCAGGCATGCAGCCATCGACGTGCCGGCAAAGCGGGCAGGATGCAGCTCTCAGCATCCAGGGCACGATGCAAGCCCTGTGGAAGCTGTGGCCGCAACCAAGACGCTCAAGGCGCCCGCCATCCTGGACAGAAGTCAAGCTTCACAATCGCGCCATACTTAACTCATGATTGCTCATGCACCAAAGCGACAAAAGCTGACCGCAGCAGTGCTCAGTAATGGGCCTGCAGCGAGTTGAAGCACACTGCGCACGGGTCCACCACGGCATCTGGCGAGAGCCCATCGAACCCGTCATCCTCTTCCTCCTGGAGGCCAGACACGTCCTTTGCGAGGAGGAGGCCGGCTCGCTCAGGGCCGTTTGCGGCACAGAGGTTGTCGCTGTAGGCATCCACGAAACTCCGGTTGAGCTCCTCCACATAAATCTCCACATCGGTGGAGTCGTACCACTGCAGCACCTTAACATCGCCGATGCTGGACTGGAGTGCACGCTGCTCCTCAGCGAAGAGGTTGCTCTTGCGAAAAGTCGCCTCCACCGATGACACGAAGCTTGATGCTGCCTTCAGTACCTTTGGCACGAGGAGGTGGCGAAGGCACCAGTCCTTGGTCTCTCCGTCAGAGACCCGGCGCCAAGCAGCAAAGGCCTGGACTGCAGTGACAATGTCGCCGGCAGGGTGGCACAGGGCCTGCTTGTGAAACTCGTTGGCGCCCTCGGCTCGGAAGAAGAGCGTGCCAGGAGCACTCAGCACCCCAGCCGCTGGCAGCGCCTGAGTTCGCGCAAAGGCTCTTGAGACTGCGAGAACTGCGAGAAGGCGAGAAGAGAGAGGAGACGGAATCCATCTTTCGTGAGATGTCCTAAGCCCGGCACCAGGTGCAGGACGCCCAGGCGCGCAGCAGAGAGCAGCATCCGCGCCAGCCGACAGTCGATGCCCAAAGCTCGGCACTTGCGCCCCTCGAGCGTCAAGGCCCCGGCCGCGTCCAGGAATCCTATGGCAGCAATGGCACATGCGACTGATTGGTGCAATTTTCCAGCGGGTTCTGTCTACTTCTGAAGGTGCAGCCAGGAATCCAAGCTGCCGCAAGCCGGCTTCGGCTGCGGCCACCCGACTGACTCCTGGGTGCTCCACCCAGGCGAAGTTGCCCGGGTCTTGGATGCCCAGCTCCTGGGAGGCTCTGTGCATTTTGTGCAAAAGTATCTGTCCCAATCGGGCACTTTTTGCGGCTGCTTCCTAAGATTCCCACAAAAGCAGCAAAGGCGCACGTGCACGCGCACGCCCACACACACACACACAGAGGCACACACACACACACACACACACACACACAGAGGCACACGCACACGCACGCGCACACGCACGCGCACAAGCACACGCACACGCACACGCACACGCACACGCACACGCACACGCACACGCACACGCACACGCACACGCACACGCACACGCACACGCACACGCACACGCACACGTTGCCGCACGTTGCCGCACGTTGATACACATTCGCCTCGGCTTCCTTCCGAGAAGCCTTTGGAACAAGCAGACACGGATCCGGTCTCCTTCCCCCTGACCCAACCCCCGTGCCAAATTTTGTCACGCACCGCAGCCCCCCCCGCCCCCCCGACCTGGGACCCCCCAGCCTGACCCCTGCCCCTTCCCTGGACCCCTCTTTCCTCCCTTCCTGTGGGCCGGCCCGGCTGCCGAGGCGGCGCGCGCAAGCGTTTACAATTACCACACATTGCCTACGTGACACCCTGAGCAGTCCTTCAGCTGCAGCACGGCACCCAGCAACTCGGTGCGGAGGATCTCGGCCTCGGCGGACTGCGGCATCTCCGCAACATCTGCCTGGTCGTAGAGGTGGTAAGCAACACCTCAGCGCCCACGAGACTTTGTGCAGGGAAGATGCACAGCAAAGTGCAGCACCCTTGCGGTGGCCTGGTCTCGTGCGCCCTGCTCGGCCGGCACGCTGGTGAACGGAGGCCTGGGTGATCCACCCCACGGTGAGGGTGTTCATGTTCCGAACGGCGTCGAAGGATGCAGTCTTCGCCTCAGCTCGAGGCCAGACGAGCAGATCGAAACCCGGAGAGTTTGGCAGTCAGAAACCTGCAGCACCACTGCTTTGACAGTCTATCAGCCGTACCGGGGGGCAAGCATCATGAGCACTTCGCCAGCCCCACTTGCCCATTATGCTGAGAATGTGCAGCTTGCCGACAGTGCATCATGGGCATCAATAGAACGCCCACCACATCGTGAAACCCAACCGGCTCTGAAATGCGTGAAGAACACCACTGCTGCTGCTGCTGCTGCTGCTGCTGCTGCTGCTGCTGCTGCTGCTGCTGCTGCTGCTGCTGCTGCTGCTGATGTTTTCAATCCCGATTTCCTTGCACTGTTTCGCATGAACGCGCATGGCAACGCCTGAGCTCAGTACCAGTCCAGTGTCAATGACATACACCACACCATCGATGGTGACGCTGGTCTCCGCAACATTCGTCGAAAAGACAACCTTCCGCTGTCCCTTGCGCGCCTTTTGAAAGACGAGCTGTTGATCTTCAGGCTGCAGGCGACCTGACCCGTCAACGCTGTACACTAGCATACTCAGCTGAGCCGCATGGTCAAGATCTTTTCTCTGAGCCCCTTAAATTCATGCTTCTCTCGCATGTTGGGGATCTGCTGGTCTGAGGTGCACGACGCCGCTATTATACCCTCGATTCTGAGATGTTCTGGGGCTGTGGCCATGCAAAGGCAGGACCAGCACCGAGTCATCCGTTTGCGAGACATTCTGCAAGGCCTTCACAGCCTCCATGACATCGTCGGGCGTGGGCAGGAAGACAAGGATGTCCCCCTCACCCGGCTGCGCCAGCAGTTCTTGCGTCTTGCAAACCGCATGGTGCACGGCCCTCTTGGCAAGATCTGCGGGGCGTTCCATGTACACATGCGAGATCGGGAAGGTGCGCCCTGGGATGCGGACCGCCGCATCCTCCTGGGTGATGCCAAAGTGCTGCATGAAGAGCTCCGGTTCGATCGTTGCCGAGGCCACAATGAGCCTGAAGTCCGGCCGTGCAGCGCACACCGCCTTGAGCTTCCCGAGGAGCAAGTCCGTGTCGATGCTCCGCTCATGCGCCTCATCGACGACAACACAGCCGTAGTCCAGCAGCATCTCGTCCTTGACCATGAGGTTCAAAAGGCTCTTGTCCGTGGCGTAGACCATACGGGTGGAACGCCCGATCTTCCTCTGACCTCCCACTATGAAGCCCACATCTTCCCCCACCGCGCAACCCCACTCAGAAGCCACGAAGTTGGCCAGCGACTGAGCGGCCACCTTCCGAGGCTGAGTGCAGACCATCTTGAGACCATCGGGGACGAGGTCACCGTCCGCCAGAAGGGGCAGGATCTGCGTACTCTTGCCGCTCCCAGTGGCACCGATGAGGATCACGACCTGGTGTCGCGCAACGGCGCGAAGGATGTGGCTCCGATGTGCATAGGCAGGAAGCCGCGCCTGAAACCTCGCAAGCTCTCGGCCAAGCCTCTTCACAAGGCCTTCGGCAGCCTGCTTGTCCATGGCGCTCATGATGAGGCCGACGGCACGCCGTGTCGCCTCAGAGTACTCCTGGTCCTGTGCCTCAAGCTGAAGGTAAAGCTTCTGCAATGGCTCACGCGCCTCCTGCTCCTCAGCGGAGATGGCCTCCTGCAACCACTTGGAATGGGGCTGCACCGCCCAGCTGCCCGGGTGCTGGGTGCCCAGCGTGCTCGCATTGCGCTGGTTCACCCTGGTCACTCGGCCGCGCGAGTCCTCAAGCTCCAGCGCGCCCAACTCAGCATCTAGGCAGACTTGGCGGTGGATGCGCGCCAACTCCGAAAAGTCGCCTGCGCCATCGACCCACCACTCCTTCCCTGGCCCATTCCAAGCCGCACGCGTTTCAAAGTGTGCCTCGAACTCCTGGCCGGCTGCACTGTCCCATCTTTGGCATGCCGGGCCTGCCCAGCTGCCCTGGGACACCAGAATCCACGCCTCCCCCTCGGCCCTCTGCATGTGAAGGGCCTCACTGCTCAGCCGCAGTCGAGTGGTGCAGCCCAGATCCTTGAGGACCACGGTGGAGGCCTCTCGAGTCTCCATCTCGAAGACCTCCCTCACGATGCCCAAGTTGCGACCCTCCAGCCACCAGCGCCAGGTGCTCTTCAAGAACCCAGGAGAGCTCGTGGAGGAAGGCCGCCATTCCCGCAAGGCTGGCTGCACGAAGTGTCCGCCTCGACCTGGCACCTGGCAGCACGCAAGGCAAAGTCTTCACAGCAACGGCCCTACAAACACAAACAAATAAATAACCAAGCAAGTCATATATTTGTATATATGCTTTAATTTATTGTTAGATGCCTATCATACAGTATACACACATGTTGGAGGTCCTTGCCTCTTCCCAGGGGCCGTGCCGAGAAAGCGCGTGCATGACGCGGTCGGCAAGGAGGACGAAGGGATGGCTCGGCACCGAGCGGCCTGCGATCCACCGAAGCACCACGGCCTCACGCTCTTCCTCCAGCAACTCGTAGGCAGCCACAACGCCATGGCCCCCCGATCCGCGCAGCTTCATCGGCAGCCCGGCCCTGCACGTTGCACATGTTGATGCCGCAAGGCTTGGGACTCTGATGTCTCTGAGCTGTGCTTTCCAGGTCCAGAAACTCAAAAACTGAGCTCCCAACCATCCCTGGGTCCATCTGTCCGCCTCTTCGTCGGCCGGTGCATCTGAGCCCACGAGCGACAGCCTCGACTGCGGCGCGCAACCTTCCAGCCAGAAGCGCTTGTCGTGGAGGGCATGGAAGCCTTGCCGGTAGGCTGACGGCAGCTCATCCGAATTCAGCTGGGCCTGTGGCAAACAGCGACTGAAGGGAACGTAAGGACACCTGCAAGATGCGACCTGCACACATGAAGCCTTACTTCACATACTTCTTTATCTACAGCATCTTCCTCCGTCCTGCACATCGCCCATCTCCGCAATGTGCAAGTACTTGGCTTCACTCGTGAACTGCAACCAGCTGCGTAGCTCCTCTTGGAGGCCTTGATCAAGTGCGAGGGCAGACCTGTCGGGACAAACTGGCACACGAGACATTAGAGGCTCTGACCTAATTTGTTTTGTCTTTGATTTTGCTTTACGAAAACATGCAGTTGGCATGAAAATGTAATGCTCTGTAGTTTGAAGAACGCAGCATGACACACTGCCGCGAAACCTACCAGACTGCACTCTCATACACATAAACATATACACCCCATCCGACCCGCCTGGGATGGGGGACCAGGTCCATGTCGTTGAGGCGAATGCCAAAGCCTTCCCCGGCGTAGAGCACCTAGCCGGACAAAAACAAACACCACCACTCATGTTTTCATCGGTACCTTACGGGAAGCCCTTCAGGTAGCGCGAGTAGAGCACTGTTGCATTCAGCACCTACTGGCAAGCTACGGCAACACCCTCAAGGAATCTCAAAGGCTGTGTCTTTCGCTTCTTTCTTACCACGGGCACCTGGCCCCCGTGGATGCCCGTGCGCGCCGAAGCCAAGAAGGACGTCACAACCTGGCAACTTTCGTGGGAAGGAAACAAATCTGCTCTAGAGCAGGGAGGCTGCAAGAGGAGGAAAATCCCCCGCCTGCCCGGCGCATTCGCTGCCATTGAGCCTCGCGGCCGCAGCCTTGGCCTCGTCGGCGGTTGGCAGCTCCAGTCGCACAAGGCGCCTTCCGGGCACAATGGCCCGTGGCTCAATGCCCATCTCCGCCAAGTCCAACTTCAGTGCTGCCAGGTCACCGTCACAAGCAACAACAACTCCCATCACAATCACCACCTGCTCAAGAGGGACAGCTGGCTCTGACTCAGCAGTTGAGGATGCTGCAGGCAAGGGCAATGGAACCGTCCTCTCCCGTGGGTGCAGGAAGTGGCAGGTGGGCTTTGTGCACCGGACGCCCTGGTTGCACGGGATGTGGCGCCGTGGGTGCACCTTGTCGCAGTCACTGTAAGGGCAGCGGTCCCCTTCCTCACATCGGTTGCTGTACCACTCGGGCGGGTGGATCTTGGTGCAGGTGTCCAGCTGGAAACACTTGATGCCATGAGGGCATGCTCCTGCTGCTTCAGCGCCTGCTGTCCAAGCACGTGGGTGCAGGAAGTGGCAGGTGGGCTTCGTGCACCGGACGCCCTGGTTGCACGGGATGTGGCGCCGTGGGTGCACCTTGTCGCAGTCACTGTACGGGCAGCGGTCCCCTTCCTCACATCGGTTGCTGTACCACTCGGGCGGGTGGGTCTTGGTGCAGGTGTCCAGCTGGAAACACTTGATGCCATGGGGGCATGCTCCTGCTGCTTCAGCGCCTGCTGTCCAAGCACGTGGGTGCAGGAAGTGGCAGGTGGGCTTTGTGCACCGGACGCCCTGGTTGCACGGGATGTGGCGCCGTGGGTGCACCTTGTCGCAGTCACTGTAAGGGCAGCGGTCCCCTTCCTCACATCGGTTGCTGTACCACTCGGGCGGGTGGATCTTGGTGCAGGTGTCCAGCTGGAAACACTTGATGCCATGAGGGCATGCTCCTGCTGCTTCAGCGCCTGCTGTCCAAGCACGTGGGTGCAGGAAGTGGCAGGTGGGCTTCGTGCACCGGACGCCCTGGTTGCACGGGATGTGGCGCCGTGGGTGCACCTTGTCGCAGTCACTGTACGGGCAGCGGTCCCCTTCCTCACATCGGTTGCTGTACCACTCGGGCGGGTGGATCTTGGTGCAGGTGTCCAGCTGGAAACACTTGATGCCGTGGGGGCACGCCTGTCAGGACCATCATCACAACTGCATACTAGATGCTCCAGCTTTCCTGTCTAGCTTGCAGCAGATGCACTCGACTAGACATGAGCCTGGCTTGGGTACATGACGCTCTGGCGCGGGACTGCTGAGCACAGTGCGAAGAGTCTTCAACAGGATTGGGAGGGCTGCTACGCTGCCCCCCCCTCTCTGAAAGCAAACTGCAGCGGGCGGCATCAAGCCTGTAAAAGGGCAGTCGACATTCCTAAAAAAACAGCATGCACTGCAGGTCTGCAGGTCTCGAAGCATGATTGGCAAGCGGAGTGCAATGCATTCCGCGCATCATTTCGCAAATCTGCAGACGCCTGTTTTTGCACGCCGTGTCTGAGACGCGTCCAAGCCGGAGGGCATTCTACTGGCAGCGAAGCGCAGCTCAACGAGTCTAAATGAGACAGTCTCGGGATGCCGCCCAATGCTATCCCGTCAGCCTGCGGCGGAATGTCCAACCGAAGTTGCGGTCACATGCATGTGGAAGTTGCTGAACCTCCACCGTGCCTCCACGTTGCTTTGCGCTTGGCCGTGTTGACACAGTGGTGTCTGACTGTCTTGGCTCTCCATGAGAGATGTTGAGCATCCTGAGCACAGGTTTGAGCACAGGAAGCTTTCTTAGACTAGATGCTACATCTGCGAACTCGGAGACTTGAAGCGCCAGGTGGCAATTTTTCGGACCGACGTTGGTTGCCGTGATGGCCTGGTTGGACCGATGCTGATTTGAGGTACCGTTCACCATGGTGGCTAAGGATCTCCCTGAAATTTCGTGTTGATTGTGCAATCTTGACGGGAGCTGCTCTTGGTATGATTCTGTATGGTGTGGCCCAGCTGGCTCCGTCATTGAACGACTTTTTCGCACGCCATCTTGCGGATCACGTATCCCTGTACACTGTACACTGTCCGCTGGGAAGTTGGCGCAGCCACTCCGTGGGAGGGCCCGTGCTGAAAGCAAGCCAGCGCGTGCTGTACGTGCTTCAACAGCCCCCGCGGATCCTCAAAATTCCTTAAGACTCTGTGGCCCCACCAGCCCTGGCCTGGTATGTGTCGAGCAAGGGGTTGGGGCAGGCAAAGAACCTTGGCCACAGCGACCCAGGAAAAAGCAAGGCCAAGAGCCTGGGCGTTACAGAGAAGCTGAGGACCTCGTCGACCAACGAAGGATCAAAGCTGATGCCGTTTGCACCGTTCGCCCACTGCCGCATGGCTTGGAAGATTCCCACCGCCTGCTGCACAGCTTGACCGAGGCTTCGCCTCCGCGAGGCGGAGCAAACCCCTGCAGCCGCTGCGCGGGGTGCACACTCACCTCGTGCCTCTCTTGCGCGCCGCCAAGAACAGAACCGCACGGTGTACACACTCTCGGAAGCAGCGCCACAGAGCTCGCACGGGTAAGGCAGGTCAAGCTCAAGCAACTCACGGAAGTCTTCGGAGACCTCAACGTGGGAACTGAGCACTTCGGCTAGCTGATCTCTGCCGCACAGGATGGCCGCGTCCATTAAGGACAGCTGCCTTTCAAATCGCCGCGGACCCCATCGTGAGAGCGGCTGGCCCCTGCATGCGCTGCACGTGGGCACGAAAGGGGACAGGCGACACGCTCCCAAATCCAGTCCTGCAAGGAGTGCACACTCGAGGATGGCCAGGGTAGTGTCCCTCAAACTTTCCACATCGTCAGCTGTCCATCGTCGCAGAGGCCGGAGCTGGCAATGAGCCACGCACCAAGTGGTTAGCTCAACATTGCCAAGTAGGATTGCCATGTCCATCAAGCAAGCGACAGCATCTTCGTCAAATGAAATGGATCCAGCGCCTAAGTGGAGGAGCCTCTGCACGAATCCATTGCTGGCCAGGCGCTGCGCTCTCGCCCTGGCGACGGTGATCGTGTCGCACCAATTCCACATCCAAACCCCTTGTGAAATGTCGAAACCCCAGCAACAAGCAGCACATGTGGCCGGCGTGTCGAAGCACCGGCAGAATCCTATCAGGCTCCTGAAATCGGGCCATTCATCCTCCTCCAAAACGGCAAGCTCGTCCGAAGCAGCCTGCAACTCCCATGCTTTCGTCCAGGTAGCGGCGCGTCACTCGACATCCCTGCACGCCCCTGCACGCCAGGGCCCAAGCAAGGTCGTAGAGCCGGAAGAGCATGCACAAGTCAAAGATGTGCACATGTCCCCATTGTGATGGCACCGGTGTGGCCAAGAGCTCGTGCAAGCCCTCGATTAAGGCAGCGGACACCAGGAACTCCCTCACTTCCACGACCTCGGGCCACTGGCCGTACCTGACCAAACCTTCTGCGTCTGCAGGCAGCGGAGGCAGCTGCCGGGCCATGGCTTCTCGCCTTTTTTGGGCTGGCGGCTTAGCTCTGGGTGCTTTTGGGTGGTTATCGGCTCAGTTCTTGAGCCGATGTTACTCCAAAGAACCCCAAGACCCCTGGGCCTTGTCCTCAGTGTCTCGTTCCTGCGTTTTCCTCTACCCGTCAAGTTCCTCAACAGCGCTCTGCTCCGAGCATCTCGCCGCATCGAAATCGAATTCTAGGTAAGGGCTGTGCAGTCGAGAGGGAGGGAATAGCTTTTGACCCTTGACCCGAGCAACCCTGCAGAGGGTACTACAGGTGCTGCAGGGTTTAGGTTTTCGGGCTGAGCAACACAACAAATGGCAAGATGGCGAGGGAGGCGAAAGCTCATAGAGAGTCCCCAAGAAGGAGCGCTGAGCATCAGTGCAAAGCAGAGGGGCTTCCGGTGGGTTGCTGGCGGATCTTTCCAGATTTCACGTTTCCGCCCCAGACCCAAATTATGGCATAAAGAGCTTCAGGGTCTTCGTGTGGGTCATGATCTCCAAAAAGATGAATACCGAAGCAACCCTTCCAGCCGCGAGCCTGAAGAGTTTTCAGATGTGAGAAAAGCTCCGAAACAGCTACTCCCCCTGCGCAGAAGAACTCTAACTTTACGACACAACGCCTGCAGGTGCCTGCAATATCAAACTCAACGTCTGCTGCCATGGGTACCTTCACCATACGTCATGTAGTTGAGTACCTACATTCCCATAAGTTAGCCTGAGCGGAAATGATGCAAAGTGCACCTTGCCAAGGCTGGCTCTCAGGAAGCCGCGATGTGGGAGCCAATTGCACACCTCACGGCAGACATGAAAGCTGCTTTGAGAAAGCTTGCAGCCTCGTGCGCCGCCTGTGACATGGCCTGCACACAAGCACTTTTGCGCACGTCATCAACATCCCTCATCCCACGAAAAGCCACGTGCTCAAATTGTTTGGGCAGGAAACGCATTGAGCATGAGAAAGCCCTCAGCACCACGCCAAAAAATCCATGGCACACGGCGCAGCCACCTTAGACGTTCAAACGGCGGCATCAGTCGAAAGATCTCAAGTGACAAGATGCAAAAAACTAGGCCAAATTCCCTCAAACACATGGCAAGCTTTGAGAATGGCACGGAAATGGTCACTACAGTACCAGGAGCCAGCTCAGCTGTGTTGACGGCTCCGTTTGTTGGATTCTGCCGGTTTCCGATGAAAGCAGCGGTGATGAGATGTATTCAACTGCCGTTGCGATGGTTATTGCTGTTGCTGTTGGCTGTCTGCTGACTTCCTGTTGCTCTTGTTATGCTTGCGGCGACGGTTGTAGTGGTTGCGTTGGTGGATGGCTGCTGGTGGTAGTGGCTGTGGTGGTGGCGGTGGTGGTGGTGGCGGTGGCGGCGGCGGCTGTGGCGGCTCATGTGGCGCTCTAGTCTTACAGTATTCCACAAGCTAGGCCCATCGGCATATTTGAATTGCATGCTGAAGTGGCAGGCTGCCAGGCTAGGTAGCATGTACTGTGAAAACCCTGACACGCAACTGACAAAGAGTCCGAAAACTCCTCATGAAAATGAAAATGAGACGAGAGTTGTGGCATGACAAATTCCAAAACTCCTCGCTTCCCAACATGGCCGTCATGCAGGAGCTGGCGTGCACAGTGCTCACGCTGAAGCCTCGCGCCATATCGGCGTGGTGGACGAAAGGAAGCAAGACACTTGAACAAAAAAAGGGTGTGCCCACGCATACAATGCACAAGGGAAACATTCCAAGGTGCAGGGTGTGCTCATGTTTCGGAGGATAGAACTTCTGCTATGCCACTATGCAATTTCTGGAACGTGGAAAAAAGATACCGACAAGTTACAACGCATGACATGTTTGATCGTAATAGCGTTCCTGCAACTCATGTATCTCATCGCTGTGTTGCTTTGGCATGCTGAGCCCAATGCGCGTCATACATATTCGCCTCGGCTTCCTGCCGAGAAGCGTCTGGAACAAGCAGACCCGGATCGGGCCTCCTTCCCCCAAACCCAACCCTTCCCCACATGCAAAATTTTGTGAGGGGACCCCCCCCTCCTCCCCCCCCTCCCCCCCCTCCCCCCTCCCCTCCCCACCCCCCCCCCCCACCCCCCCCCCTTAACCCCGCTGCCCTTCCTCCCCTTTTTTTGCGAAACCCTCTTTCCTCCTTTCCTGTCCTGGGGCCGGCCCGGCTGCCGAGGCGGCGCGCGCAAGCGTTTACAATTATTCACTTACCGTATACATGGCGGCAGCACCGCCAGAAAACCACGTTTCGAGAGTTCACTGCAACCGTCACCACCCCGGATTTTACGCTCCTTCAGCACGCTGCCCCGAAGGCTTCTCACCATCGCCACGGCGACAACTGTCGTAGGCCACTCACTTATTCAACCCTGGATTCCCAACGCTCCGCAACGTCCACAAGCTGAAAAAAACAAAACACATGTGCGTGAACCTTCAACAAGTACCTGAAGCGTGCTAAAGTCAAAAAGGGTGAGCACTGTGTGAGCTCAAGCTAAGTCCAAAAACGCAAACAACGGCTCTCACACCGGCAAGAAAATCATGCGCTTGGATGCTTTTGCTGCATACTTCTAGTCTTGGTGAATGTTGAGTTCGCAAGGCAGTTCTCATCAACGTACCATTCAACGCTCGCCACAAATTTTCCCTCCGAAGCTTTAGCTGTGCCCGGTCGGTTCCCTCCTGTACACCGGGCAGCTAAATGACTAGCAAGGTCCACTGTCCACTGAGGGTCCCCTTTGGGGAGCACCCGAATTGCTCTGCCATGGTATTGCCGAAGTCAAGCTACGGCATCAGTCCACAATGGCCCAGTAGTGGGCAAAGCGGGCGCCAGGGTTGTCAAGAAAAAGAGCCACGTGTCCTGGCCCTTCATAGTTTTCGACTCCAGCCCACCTGGGAGCGTTTCCTCGAGTATGCACACAGATGCTGACCATGCGGCTTGCTCCGCACTGCGTAAGGGCTTCCAACGTGAGATGGCTTCCCCTCCCGACACCTGATTGGAGCTTCTCCAAATACTCATCGTAGGAGGCTGCGTCTGTCTCGGCTGCTGTGAAAAATGCTTGATACCGTTCTCTGTTCTGTCCGAGCTCTGCAATGGCCAGCTGTCGAAGTTCACGAGATCTGTCAAGCAAGTTATCACTCCACCGGCGGTTCCCTTCTGCCGCCAGCGCCAAGGCGTGAAATTGGCAAAGGCCATCGCCGGGCACCCAACGCGCCTCGAGAGATGCGGAATCACGCAGTTTCAGGCACCTATCAACCCAGTCCGACAAGTTCTTTGTAGCAAGCTCTGAACTAAGTCTCCCGCATTGTGCATCGGAGGTGCTGAGACCTGCCATGTTGTGCAGCTGCAGGTCTTGTTGAAACAAAAACGAACCATGGGTTGTCTGCCTGAGCAGGAGCAGCGACGGGCGCATGACAGGCCCCTTGGCCAGCCTGCCAGCACGTGGCTACTGTCATTGTTACTACGGCTGCTGCTCCGCCTCTCCTCCTATGCCTAGAGTTGGAGGTTGCAGTGTCCAGGGTTCAAGTTCAGGGCTTGGTTAATGACAGGCTGTGTGGTGTGTCTGCGTGGATCGGCCTCGGCTGCAGCTAAAACCTGGAGCATCTCCCCGAAATCTGCAGCGAGTTTTGCTCGGGCGTCTATACCCGCCTCGGGAACATGCACAGTGAGGCCAGCACGCACCTTCTGCCACAGGTACACGCCAAGCTGGTACTCCGAGCTCAGATGCTCTCGGATCTCTTCTGCATCGCGGAAGGTGATCTCAATTCCACGAGCACGTGCATCGACAAGTTCTTGGGCCGCTTGCTGAATAGCGTGCAGGGACGGCCCAGCCTGCGACGAAAGCAAGACTCTTGAGGAGAGCTCGGCGTCTGTGTGTTTGTTCTTTGACGTGCTTTCAGCATGCCTTCACCATGCCCACATAAGCCCGCCTGCCCGGCTGAAGCTGGTTGAGATGATGGTGCTCCGCATATGTAGCTCTCTCTTGCGGCACCACTAGCTTGTTGCAAAGCCTGCAAGCAAGACCGCATCACAATAAGTTCTCCCACAATGAACGATCTGTGTCAAAGGTTCTGCAGTGCCCAGTAAGCCTCGGACAGTCGCAGCAAATGCGGCCAATTGGTGAACATCCGCTTGGCGGCTTGGTGCCTTCGACGAGAGCAAGTGCAATCCGTCAGCGACTGAAAACAGATGAACTGTGATGTCATGTTCATCTATACCACAACTATGTCCTAGCCTCGCTGCGCCAGCATCCGCCATGCTTGAAGGATGGCCTCAGGTTCAGACTGTCTTGGTGGGCGGCGTGAAGTCGGTCTATCACAGCGCTGCGCATCCTTGCGACCGGCGGACGCTTGTGCCTTCGTTGGCGTGCACTTCCGCGGGTTCCCGCTGGTCCGAATGAAGACTAAGTTGACTATTTCGCGTGACCCTTCGAAAAAACAACGCCGGCAGCTGACGACGTCTGCGCACTGCACATCAGGCGCGCGTTGAAACTTTCAGAGTAGCTCGCGCGTTAACAATTTGTGCATACTGTGCCGAAGAGCCACTTGCTTTGAGGGATGTGTCAGTGACTTCGGTCGATTGTTAGACTGCAGGCAGCCCTTTGCAGAAGGTATACTCTGGCTGACTTTTTGCGAGCTCTCTTGAGGCTTCTCGAGCGCTTGCTCAGGGGCTCAGAGGCTCATTCTGATGGAACCCTAAACAGCCTTTCCGCGTTTCCAACTGTTCATTCAAGCAGCAATGTGGTCGGCTCACCGGACACTGGCTTCGCCAGATCCACGCCAAACAGGCGCCTCATAATCTCTATCAACCTTGGCTCGTGACTGAAGATTCAAGCTATTTCTCTCCTCGCTGCTCTGCTACATCCGCTACAGAAATCGAGCGCTAGAGCATGGTCCAACACTCTGGTTTTTTGAATCTCTGAATTGCTGCCGGCAAGCGCGTCAGCCAGCGTCGAGGCGGCCAACTGGGTGAGCGACAGGTCGGCCAAGATCAACTCCAAGGAGGCAGGGCAATGCCTCTCAGATTGTTCGAAAGACTCGTAAAGCTCGCGCCAATGTGTAGCCACCTCCTCTGCGGCTCTGAAACGTATCTTTTCCTTGTCGCTTGCGTCATCTGCTGGCTGCGGGCAATGGCGATGGGGATGGAGCTGGATGTGCTCATGACGCCCAAATTGCTCTAAAAGCCACTCCCTTCGGCTGGAAGCATCATCCACATCCAAGTGCCATCGCTGTTCACCTGCCAAGTAGCGGCCTTCTCGAAGCTCATGCTCAAATAGACTGAGCTTTGACCACAGATGCGGCTGCAGCGTGGCTAGAGCCTCCGGTAAGCAGAGATGCATGTTGAAATCCAGCCGCCTCCCTCGTGGCTCAAGCTCTGTCACCTGGGGCTGCGTAATCAGCGTGGGAACTGCGACAAGGTAGGGTCGTGCTACACTCAGTGAGCTCAGCGAGCTGTCTTTCAGTTTGAATTGCTTTGTACGAATACTGACAGGTAAGCCAACTGGCAATCTGCTCCAGTCGCTGTCGATGCCCTCCACATCGCTCCATGCTTTCAGAACATACAAGTCCCAGTCCTGCGAGGACTCGCCACATATTTTTTGGCCTTCGTCGTCCCCGAACAGGAGCTGCTGTGAAAGCCTACTGGCTGTAGGGGCGTTTGCCAGGACCCCTCCTTGCAGCGTGCCTTCTGCGGAGCCGTGCGCTATGATGCACCGGATGCCATACTTGAGTTTAAGGAGCGTTTCGAAGCCCTTCCTCCTTGGCCCTTCGAGCGGCACAGCAGCACCAGGCACAGCAAGCTGCTGCCGGGACAGGACTTTTTCAACAGTCCTTCCGATGTCTGCAGCTCCAAAGCGAGCATAGTTGCTCCTGCAAGTTGCCAAGAAAACTGCAACTTCACAGCTTGTCAAGAATGTAAGCACCTGCACGTTTGCAGCGTCCTCTCCTGAGAATGCATGGCACAACATGCGGGCAAGAAAAGCCTCCCACTCACTGAGCGTAGGGATCATGCTGTCCAAACGCGTGGTGTTCGACTTCTTCTTGCTTGGCGGCTTCATGATGTGAATAGTGAGCGTCTGCTCCATAGCATACCTCAACAAGTCATCCGCTGTCTGCGGGTGCACATGCCCAAAGGAGCAGGTGTCCGAAGCTGTGGAAGCAAATGTTCTGTCACAAAGCGGGCACCAGAGCCCCTGGTCAGTTTGTATCTTGGCCAACACCTCTGCAGGTGCGCTTATGCCCTCAGGATTCCGCCAAGACACAAGCTCCTGCAGAATCCACACAGCCCATCTCACCCAACCGCAAGTGAAGCCTGCCTGGATTGGCAGATTGGCCGCAAGGCTTGCTACAGACATTGGCATGGAGTGGATAAGACGGATGAAGACATCTTCCAAGCATGTCCGACAAAAGTCTTCGAAGGCTGCGGTGCTCCGTATCATCAGGCCAGCAATGGCCAAGCGGTCCACGGGCTGAATGCTGTGCAGGTCGTTTTGCACGCTCGTAAGCTCGTTCTGCAACCTGACCCAGGATTTGAAATGCCTGGCTTTCGGCTCTTGCAAGGTTGCGTCCTGAATCCGCTCCCGTTCGTTGAAGTACTGGTTGTCATCTACACCGACAAACGACAGTTCAGGTGGGGGGAACACAGCATACAGCTTGGATTCCTGCTCGAACATCATATGAAGCATTTCCAGCTCAACTGCAAACGGTCGGCCATGGACAGGTATGCCATCACCTAACCAACGGTACTTGGTAGCTGTCACGTCTGCCATGTTGTCAGGCCGAAGCACTTCCACGCGAGTCGGCCCACCGTCGCGCTCGCGGACAATTCTGCCCTGGCGCTGACAACCAAATCGCTTCAAATCTGCGCTTCTAACTTTGACTTGCGTGATCTGATCCCCCTCCCCGATGTGGCAGTAGACAGGACAGGGTGCCAAAGGGATCCGATAGCATGAAGGCCAGGCTTTGTTGGGAACGCTCTCCTCACGTCCGTTACGTGCTTGCACCTGAAAGACTGCACCTCTGTCGTCTGAACCAACAGTTTGCACTAAGGTGAGACGCGAAAAACGACCGACTGCATCACTGGAATGCGTGTACCAGCACTTCCTGCCATACCGGCACCACAGGTATTTTTCGTAATGTTGGCATTCCGGGCGGCCAGGTCGGAGCGGATAACCCCACTCGTTCGTGGGCGCCTGCAGCACATTGTTTCAAGATCTTGGCAGTACTTCCGCAAATGGGTGAATTCTTCTATGTAGTTCAGAGCTATTTTCCAGCGTTGGGAGGGGATGGCTTTTCGTACTTGGAATTTACTATCGTGCCTCAGATATTGTCCGTCAAAAGAGCACCAACTCCTACTTCTGAGGCCGGCGCAACAACCTGCGCACAAGAACCCCTCGAAATGACAGAAGAGCCTCGTGAGAACAAAGGAATTGGTCCACGAGATCATCGCCAAATTTAAACGAGCTAGACACTACGACCCATCATCTGGCAATGAAGAATGTCGCATTGGCATTGCAAATATGTTCATGCATGTTCCAGCCTCCAAATGTTCTGGGCGGAGCTCGGTGACCCAACCCACGTCCAGTCGGACCAGGACACTGCCATCGACATTTAGCTTCTCCACGAGGCCCTTCTGCCAATGTGATGGGCCCTCCCGCACGTAGACCTCGTCACCAGGCCAGAACTCAGCATCCTGGCATCTGCTAGTTAGGTTTTGCAACATTCAGATCTCTGTCACCCCACAACCGAGGCAGCAGCTCTGTGCCTGATTCTGCCCTGAATGATACTGTTTTTTTGCAGCAAACTCTCACGCCAGCTCAACAACCCGTCCTCTGCATCTCCCGACTGGCTGCTCTTGCCCATCGCCCTGGAGAAGTCCTGCGCAGCGCTTCGGAGCTTCGGAGCTTCAGTGGATCTTCGGAGAGCAACGGTGAGAGCAACGCTCCAAAAGAAGCTTCTCAAAGTTTTTCTCATTAGCAGCGCACGCCCATCCTGAAGCTGAAACTTGTCAGTTACTTCGTGGCCAAAGCGATCAAGCATGAAGTTCGTGATCCTTGGCTCGGAGCAGAACGACGCGAACGACCGGCCTAAGTCACAGCGCGATCACCTGCGTCGAAGCAAAGCGGAGTAAAGCAGCGAGCTACATGCATGCCAGGCGACCCTCCGGCTAGCATCCTCGCCACCGTGCGCGTCAAGGACAAGTCTGCAACGATGACCCTGCGCGAGATTTTGGCCAGTCGCTCGGCATGCTCGATGCCCTGGTACACATCACGCCATAGGTTTGCCAGGTCTGCCGCTGCACAGTATCGCGGCTCCTCCAATTCGCTGCCCTGCAGGGTATGATGGAAATCCACGTTGGAGCAAGCATGCAGCAACTCCCGGCCGTCCCCCCAAGTATATGATGCAGGCACTGAAACACACAAAAGGCACAGCGAGGTCCTGCCTGAGGAAAGTCGACGTGCTTGTGAAGTTGGACCCACTCCTTCCTCCCACCATCGAAGCGTCCCCGGAACTGCTCCCAGCGGCTGATAGCAGGCTCCTCATCCCAGTGTGCGATTTGATGACCGTACCAATACATCCCTGTACGCTCACAGCACAATTCTGTGGCCCGCCACGTGTGGGGTTTGGAGGCGAGCTCGTCCGGCCAGCAGAAATGCGCATTGAAACGCAGCCAGCAGCAGCTTTGGCAATACCACGCTGTACTTGTGCACATTGGCTTGTTCACGGGAGCACCGTGAACCTCCCAACAAGTCTGCCAAGTACGTCTTTCGCATGACCTACAAGGCTGCCTGAACCGCCGCTCGTCGCGGCGCGTGAGACAAATATGCTTCGACCTCACCTTGAACTTGAAACCTCTTGGAGGATCCTTCTGCCAGTTCTGCCTCAACCGGTTCCGAGTGCTCTCCTTGACGTCTTCCACAGGCCCATCTGGCAGCAACACATGCATGTCCCAAAACCCCTCCAAGGTTTCTGAAGAACTTGACGCATGGTCGAGGCCCAGAAGTTGTCTGGCGACCTGCGGAGCTGTTGGAAAGCTCTGTGTGACTGTGTCTGCATGGCCGTGAACCCAACTGTTTCGAATCGTCGTTTTGAGCGTCAGAAGGGTCTTGACTCCTTGGAAACCAGGGTTGTCAAGTCTCGCCCTCTTCGCAAGGCTCACATCCTTGTCCAGCTCTTCTTCCTGATACATGCTGATGAACGACTTGCTCAAGATCTCTTTCATGTGCTGCTCAATTTGTTCGTCCGCATCAAGAAACCTATCCCACGCCTGCAACCACTTGTCGAAGGCCTTCTCCGCGGGAGCTCTTGATACCATGTGGCTGCTAAGAACCCACTTGAAGAGTTCTGCGAGCGGTGACGGATGACGGTCGCCTTGCATGCCACAGCAGTGACCATCGGCAAACTGATCCCGGCAAAATGGGCAACACAGGGGCTGGCTCTCTCCATCACCCAGCCACATTAAGAATGACGCAAGCGCATGGGAGCGGAGCTTCTGGCCCATGGCCTCAGCTTCTCTCTTGGCCCTCATGTTGTTGGAAATCTTCTTGATGGTCGTTTGCTGCTTCGAGAACTCGTGTAATGCCTTGGCAAGAGTGCCTCCTCGCGTCCACCGAGCCTTGCTAGCCTCAGCGCCGCACTTCTGAAGCGCCCAGTCCCAAAGCTGATCAATGTTGTCGGGGTGCGAGTCCCCATGAGGACAGGTGCCGGGGACCTCTGTGCAAAATGCTTCGCCACACATTGGACACCGTAGAAAATGCTTGCCATCATCGCCGACGTTTCCATTCATCCATGTCAGCAAACAGGCCGCCAGCTCGTGGGCGGCAGTCTTCAAGCTCTCCTCTGCGATCTTCTTTTTGTTCGCATCCTTTGTCTTTTCCTGCGAATCTGCCTCCTGATGAGCATTGTATCTGGCTTCTGCAGCTTGGAATTCCGCCACCTTGTTGTCGAAGGACCTCACGAAGCGCCTCATCTCGTCACCTCCGAGCAGCGGACTTTGTCCCTCTCTCAATTTGCATAGCAACTTTCCGAGATCGTGCTGTGTGCACAGTTGCGGGCCCACGTCTGACAGCATTTTGAACATCCTCTCCTGTACCCAAGCTCCGCCAGCGCGCTGCATCTCTAACAACCTGAACGACCAAATCCACAACTCATCAGCACTCCTCGGATGCCGGCTGCGGTTGAATGCGCATGTACTGTCATCATGTGCGTGAAAGCGCTGCCCGCAGAATGGGCAACCCAACTCGCCCGTGGCCTCCCCTCTGCCAATCATCCAGTGCCAGATCCCTGCCAACTTCTTGGCCGTTGGGCCGTCTTGCGACGCAATCTGGTTGAGCACGGGGACGGTACAACGCGACGACTGCAGGAAAAGCAGGAAGCTGTCAACATCGCTGTCCCCTGAGCCCCTGCACAACTTGACGGCGAAGTCCAGCAGTCTCTCAAAGCTTGGTGGATGAATCTGGCCGGTGAAGCAGCATGTGCTGTCCTTGCAAGGGCAAAAGAACGCACTGCAAAGTGGGCAAACCAAACTGCAGGATCCTCCACATTCCTCACAAACCTGCAAGCTCATGTTCTCTTGGCAAGAGCTGCAGAGCCCGAACTCTTTTCTTTTCAGGCATTTGCTGCACTTGGCGCCACGCACCCAATTCGGCAAGCATTTTGTGGCTTTTTCCTCGGACTCGGCTCCGATGTACTGCTTCAAGGAGCCATTAGCTGGGGTTGTTGGTGCAGCTTTCAAGAAGTCAACGAGCCGACCACCTTCTTGTCGAAGATAGCGCAAGTGATCGCTATTCAGCTGTCTCAGTTCTCCTTTCACCTCCACGAAGCTTTTGATGAGAATGTCTTTTGCAGTTTGTCCATGTGGCTTCAAGGTCTTGCTGCAGGGCCTGTCGCAGCAGGCGGTCTCAAGGCAGAGCGGACAAAACAGGACAGGCTTGTTGCAGGCTCTGCAGGTCTTGTGAACCGAGAACCGCCCGCTCACCCAACTGCAGAGATGCGCGAAGGCACGGTCTGGCTCATGTTCGATCAAAGCTTTGAAGTCATCAACCTTGGCCTTCTCCTGCACTTCTTTTCGCAGCTGCCCTTCTCTCTTCAGAAGACGTAACAGACAACTCTGAACATCCTCCAATGAAACGAGCAGCGGTGGAGCGGCACAGAAGGTTTCCGGGCAAGGTTTCGCGAGCTTGTACACGAGACGGATCATAGCGTCAAGGAAGACGTTCTGCAGAAAATCTTCAAAAGCCGCCGAGCTCCGGGGCTGCAGCGCAGCAATGGCTAGCTTTTCCCAACGGTTCAGTCGACGCAAGTCCCGTTCAATTTCAGTCAACTCTTTTTCCAGCTGCCGCCACGCTTTGAATGGCCCCGAGGATGGAGAAGGCTGAGCGCCCTGCATTTCACTGATGTACTGAGCGTCGCCATTCATCTCGATGTCGTTTATCAGCTCAGATGCTTCCGGCGGCATAAGAACGGCGCACCACGAGAGCTTCATACCCGGCGCCTGTCGGATTTGGAGCTGGGCAGGGACCGGGACACCATCACGGATGAAGGAGTGCGACACATGCTCCTCCAATATCACAGTCTTGTTCTCACTCACTGCAACTCCTGCAACGGTTTGTCCGTTTCGCTGGAACAGAACAGCTCGTCGGGCTGGAAGCTGATTCAGATCACGGCGCTTCACGTTGATCAGCAAACAGAGCTCTTTCTCGTCCCGCTGCCTTCGATACATTTCACACTCCCCTGCACAGAAGCGACATTGCCAAGAATTGTGAGGAACTGGAAACGACTCGACTGGCCCACTTGTGAAAGGAAGCTGGCTCGCATCCTCAGAACCCTCCGACTCGGGGTCGACTCTCGAAACCCATTGAAAGAACAGCCTGCCCTCGTGTCGGGGACGGCTGGCATCAAGCCGTGGATCAGGCAGAGAATATGCCTGCGGCCAGGATCCGTCAGGAATTGGAAACTCGTGATTCGGCGTCCGCTCATTTCTCGTCTCCAGCCAGAAGTCGAACTTGACAGCACCTTCTTCATCTGTTTCAATTTTCTGCACTAGGAAGCCCTCTTGAAAGCCTTGCAAAGACTCACCTCTGCGATGGTCAAACCGGCATGCTCCTCCGAAACTGCACCATCCCCATCGGACATACTGTTGGCACTCGTCTTGGCCGGGCCGATTCGGAAAACCCCAAGCATCGAAAGAAAGCATTCCCTGAGACCTACTGAGACCCACTGTCCGAGTCCAAGCGTGGCCAACCTTCAAGCGAGCTCAGTCGTTGGTCGATCACACTTCGACAAGCTCAGGTACCTTGGCTTCCCGACAATTCATGAACACCCTGGAGTCGTGATCTCATGACTCTCATCGCAGCACTAGGTTTGCCCTCTGCAAAGTGAACAGCTCAGCACAGCTCAGCCTGTTGCGACTGCCAAGCACGACTTGCCCCACTTGTGCGTGGCAACCGCAGAACTTGCAGAGACAGCCACGGCGTCGCGTGTGGAATGTAAAGCAGGGTTTCACATGAGGTATGCTCGGATTAGCTTTGATTTGGCTGTAAAGGGAATTAGACACACTCTCGCATCTACAGCTTCCGAGCACTCCGTGCGATACTCTGTGAGATGTTTCTCTGGGGTTCCTGGTTTGTTGGCTCGCTCGTGCATGCATTTGACGGCAGAACCTGGCAATGACTTGAGCAGCATCACAGTCAGCGTGCTTGATAGCTAGCTGAGTTGTGACAGCCCCAGCACCAAGACTGCCACAAAGACGAAGAAAGCTGGGGAGGGGATTGAGGAGCGCCGGGAGGTCGACTTTGCCGGACGATGCTGCCGCGCGCCCTCCCAAGAGTACACTGACCACTATGAAAGTGAGAGACAACGTTTCATAAAATGAAGCAAACGCAACATTCAGCAGTGGTGTCTTTCAGACTGGTGACAACTACAACAGAAGATCTTACTGCGGAACAAAGGTATTTGGGAGTTTGTTATCCGCAAACGTTGGATGCCACACCAGAACAAATGCGCAAATTTCAATGAAGACGGCGCTTCACTTGCATTTTCCATTGGTTCGCAGATCAGAGCGGACGGTGCCGCCCTCATGGGGGTTGGCTATGCGCCTTGCTGTTTTTCCGGCCTAGTATGATTGAAATGTGTTTGGCTATGAATCGTGCGGGCATAAAGGGTGTCTTCATTTGACCGCTAACACAGTATTATTTAGTGTTGGAAGAACGGGCCAGTACAAAGAACTATATTTGAGCCGTTAATGATTTCGTTCGTACTTTAATGGGGCAGTCGTTTCACTCTTTACAAATCCATTGAATTAACTCTTCTACGTTTACTCGCGGCACAGTGACACGCAAAGCCCGCCACTTAAAAGATTGGACACGCAGATCTGAGAACAGCACTGTGACACGCAAAACACGCCAAGATTGAACACGCCGATGTGGGAACAGCACAGTGACACACAAAACGTTCTGCTACGTCGGGGAGCCTAACTTCCGCGGTCTGTGATGCATAGCATGAACTCGGGTCACACAGCGCTGCTGTTTCTGATCGCTTCTGCCACTGCACCCGGCAACTCTTGCAAAAGTCCTGGGAGCGTCAGCAGGTGCATGGGCTCTCAAAGCCAGAGCCGTGCTGGGTCACTACGCGGATGCCAGCAGGAAATGTTCTGCTGGCCAACCATAAGCATGTGATGCGTAGCATACAGACAACGACCCCAAGCTGTAAAAGTTGACTACCAGTGCCACTTGAACACGACGTGAAAGCAATAGAAAAGAAAGTCGGCACTTCCTGATAAGCCCCGAGAGCTTCAGAGAGATCTCCAGACTCGCTCCCTAAGGAAAGCCGATTAATTCCGAGCCGGCACCTACTTCTGAGGGCGACGCCAAAAATGCAAAAAGGAGAAGCCCAGGGCGGTCAAAGAGGGCTGGAGCCTGAAGGGAAAGAGCCCGGGGCCTGAGAGAACGACCTAGGCCTTAGGTGCTTCTCGAGAAGTCAACATCCACTGACGGCCTGAAAAATTCCAGGAGGGCTGCATGTTGCAAGTTCTCGTGGATATTTCTCAGAGCGTCTTTGTCCAAGAGGGCTTGCCAGCTGCGAACAACAAGATCCGGGAATCGGTGGAGGAACTCGTGCTCCGTCAGCTTAGTGCGAAGCTCCGGGCTCATATCCGAGTCATTCAGGTGCAAGTACTTGTTCCGGATGAACTTCAGGAGGCCCAAGGGCAATTCCTTCAGAAAGTCCATGGTCTTGCGCGGTTTGGGTTGCTCCATATCTTCCACAATGTCGAACCATAAAGCCTGGCCATCTGTCAGCTTGTCCCTGATGACTGCTTCAACTTCTTGCCTCAGATTCGGAAAGGAATCTCCAAGCTTTGTCCCAGCATCCACTTGCTCACGCTCATCAACCCTGTAGCTACCCAGGGTGTACAGGAAGCGCGTCTTCTTTTGGGACGACCAAAAGAACGGATGCGCAAGCACAGTGCGGTGCGGGGTCATCATGTTTCTGGGGATGCAGTCCGAGAAGGCTCGCTTGTCAGGAAGCTCTGTCAGCAGAGCTCGCATCAAGTTCTGGAGTGAGCACACATGATGCCACGGCCATGCTCCAAAGTCTTGCTTCAGCTTTCCATCCAGCATCTCGCACTGTTCTGCACCGTTTTTGGAGGGATCGAGCTTGGCGCCTTTGGGGTCCGCTAAGACCATTCCTACGATCACCATGCCCAATGAGTAGAGATCGCTGGTCTCCTTGGCCTCCTTTTTCGTCAGACTCTTTGCCTCGGGAGAAGCATAGAGCTGCGGGCCTGTCGAAGAGCAGGTCTTCGATGCGGCGCACAGGTCCATGACCTTCGAGATACCAAAATCTCCAAGCCGGATGGCACCCACTCTGTCAATCATGATGTTCTCAGGCTTCACGTCACGATGTACCATCTTTTGTTCCTTCCCGTAGAGCCCATGGTTTAGCCTGGCGAGTACCACTGTCAAGCTCTCAGCGACAAATCGAATCACCTGCAAGTGAGGGATTTTGCCTACTAGCCCGCTTGATTCCCACTGCTCCATCGCATCATGCAAAGAGCCCTCCATCAGCTTCAAGACAATCACCCTCTCGTACGCGACGTCTCCCAGGTGATTTTGAAATTCGTGCAAGAAGGAGGTAACGTATGGAACGATACCTGGTACATCGGAGACAGCCTGCATGTTCCTGCGGTCAGCATCAAAATGCTTGTCGGCTTCCGATGTCCAATGGTGCACTTTGACAGCGACCTCGCTGCCATCTGAGTGCATGACTCCCAAGTACACTCTGGCTGCGCCACCTTTGCCAATCTCGAGCTTGGTGTGAAAGTAGATCCCATGCTCTTGGTAAGCAAGGTTTAAGTCTCCGCTCTGCAGCCACTGGTTGTAGTCGTCAGTGAACCGCGCTGAATGACCCTTGGCCCAAAGTTGCACAAGCCGGTCACGCCGATGGGCCTGCTCATCATTCAGCACTTTCTTGGAGCCACCCACCTTGACCTGGCGAACAAAGCAGCGCAGTCGGCTCTAAGTCACAAGTGCGCACGCCTCACCTTCCATCTGTCCGACGCTGGAAGCCTCAGCATCACTCGATGTGATGCATCCTCCTCGCGTGCAGCAGTTCAATTGTCTTGCTCTGCGCTCTGCGTACCACTATCTGAGACTGTCTGCCCACCTGTATGGTGAAGAGGTCCGTGTTTTTGCGAAGCTGGGCGGTCCCCAAAGACTCCTTGGACGAAAAGCACAGCGCCGGCTGTGCTCAGAAGCCTCTCTTCGGAACGCTCATCTCCCCTCGCAATACCCAGCTCCAACCCAAAACCCTATTGCTTCGAGTCCTGCGAATCTGCGGCGCGATGCAGAGACTCCTCAAATAGTCTCAAGCAATTCATGCAGCAGCATATATGCAGACCCCACCCTCCCAAACCCATCTTACAATAGCTTACAGCTGAAAATCACACTGTCCCAGCCTCAGGCGGAAGAAGCTCATCCATCCTCACCCAGGCATCGAAACCATCGTTGAATCCGATATAGACCTGCTCTTGGGGTCGGTCTACTTCCTTCACACGGACCCTCACATTGCCGCTCTCGTAGCCCAGACTGCGTGCTTTGCCATCTGCAAGCAAGACTTCTCGTCCAGAGTGAAGTGCTCGGTGCATCCAGGCATGCAAGGCTGTTGCTTGCACCTGATCACTTGGAGCACAGTGTCAGGTTGGGAGCCCCTCACTCGCTGGACTACAGTGACTACAGTATGCCTCCTTGGCGCCTCGAACTCTGGCACAGCTTCGGGGCTGGCAGAAGAACTGAGACTGCAGGATGCAGGAGAAGGTTGGACCTGTAGGACCGAAGTTCGAGCACGTTCAGCACAGATCATCCGAACTTCAGGAAGTACTAAGGAGAAGTGTTGTGCATCCATGTGCGTTCCACCTCCAGCACCTCGGATTCGGTTGTGTCCAAGTGTTGGGAAGATTCCTCAGCCATAAACCAGACTCACGGAAAGCTGCCATGATACAGATTCGCCACACAACATAACAGCAGGCTGGGGAGTCAATCCTGCCGAATACGAAAATGAGACGCCCAAAAGATACATCAGCTATCGTAAGAACTCCCCGCCCCACCTGCCAACCCTGCACTGAGAGCAAAGCCGACGGCTGAGACAGTCTGTGCACCGGCTCGGCAGCGTCTGCCTCGTAGCTACAAATTCACAACTGCACAAAGCACCATTGCAGCACGCCCAACATTCCCGCACGCTGCTACCCTCTGCGTTTTTGCACAGTCAGTCGTTCCACATGTTTGCGGCGTTGCACCTTCACCCTGAATCGATTGAGCGCACATGCCCTTGCTTGCAGGCCAAATCGGGCATGTCGTTGCGAATCAAATCTGCCTGTACCACTTGCCACCTCACAGTTTTGCTTTCGTCGCTTAGTCTCTTGCTGCCTCGCAGAATTAGCAAACAAACTGCAAGATTCAGGTAGACGGCCCATGATGTCATTTAGCATGCGCAGGCCTCCGCACAATAAGTCTTTACTGTCTTTACTCGTTATAAGGGTCAGGCTGCGCCGCTGGCTTTGGCACGTTAGACTTGGATGCGAAATAAGAGGATTTGTTCATGGAATAAAGATGCTACTTGGTAGCTTTTGCCTGCTGTCTATGTGGGTCAGTGATGTCTTTGATGCCAGTGCTTCTCAGCAGGTAAACCTGTGACCTGCACATGCGGCCTGTGCAGAGCGGAACAGGTCCCGCCAATGGCTCATGGGCGCCACGAGACATGCATTCCACAGAACCTACCACGACAATCCATGGCTACCCCACAAAGCCCTGTATCAGCGGGCCTTGACAGTGGCACCAGCATTCTCGGCATTCTTAGATCAGACAGCCAGACCAGCCAACAAAGCCAAAACCGAGCATGCCTCAAGGTCGTCCGTCAGTGCATCCAATTCTGCTGACGCCTCACAAACGGCTCCAAATTCGCAGAGGTATTTCGCACAAATAGCATCTTTGTCCTTGCTGTTGTACAACTCTTGGGGAAGCTTCTTCCGGAAACCTTACAGTCTGACCAACAAGTCGTTGCCACGTAGGTTCTCTGCCCAGATGCTGCACAGCTACCTCCCCAATACGGGCAACTTTCCGAGTGCTGAGACACGCTGAGAGCAACTGGTGCCCGCGCCTTTGGCCACCGGCCACTATAGAGGTTTGCACTGTGATTTACAGAGGATTTTCGGGCCGCCGGGCACTGATATTTGAGAACTTCAGGGGAACACTTCAGAAGTTGTCAAAGAACTGGGGCACAGCGCGGTTGAAGCTTGCCACATCTTGTTCCACTTGGGTGTATGTTGAATATATTGTACAGTGAGGATGCCAGTGATTTGGACATGTTCGGTAAAGGCATGGACGCCTGTCACAGCTTGTTCCACATCCTTGTGCAGCACGTTCATATGAACGACGTGATTATCCCCGGGCCCCCCCCTCCACCCTCCACCTCACCCTCCACGCCCCCCACCACCCCCCCCCCCCCGCCCCACCCCGCCAAGCCGAAAAAACCCGGGAATACCTAGCGGCCGTGCAGGGTGCGTGGTGCAACTACTTGTGTTGCTCGATTGGATGTGGTTTGACTTGCGAACCGAGAAGACTGTGAACAAAAACGTAATTCGCCACAATCTCTGGCAGCGCCTCGGACTCAACCTCCCACTCCATGGCCTCAACCTAAATTGCGGAACGCTTCTTGCAAGAAGCTGCAGAAGATTGCACAAGCCACTGAGTGCGTGACCCTACTATCCGACAGCGTCTCATGCACCGACTCCATGCACTGAAACTGCGTGTGCCCCGTCTGGAAGGTGTGCCGAGCGGAATGGGCACCGTTTTTGCATTCACACCCACACTCCGTGCAAATGAACTTCTTCAAGGCCCGGTCATATTCTTCGTGCAAAGGAAAGGCCCAATGCCCTGCGCCTTTTGAAGCCTTGTGCGCATCGGCCTGTGATTTATCTGGGAAGATCTGAAGACAACGCTTGCAAGCAAATGCATTGCCCAGATCATCATCAGCCAATCTAGTGAAGTGGTAATGCTCACGGTCATCCGAATGCTGTATAGATTCAACTCGATTTGCAAACTCATGCCCACACTCCATGCAAATCACCTTGTGCAAGGCCTCGTCGTAGGTCTCATTCAACGGACATGGCCAATGCTTGGGGCCTGTGGAGGCATGGTGCGCATCTGCCTGCGCTTTGTCCTTGAAGACCACAAGACACTTTTTGCACGCGAACGCGCAGCTTTCATCACCATCCCATGGTTTGAATTGAGTGTGGCGGGTCTCCATGTGGTGCATTTGAGCTTGGGCCTGGTTCTTGCAGTGGAACCCACATTTCATGCAAATCTGTTTCTGCCACAATTTCAGGGAATATGCTTCGTCCATTGGAAGAGTAACATGCTCTTGCGTCTTGTGCTCATCAGCCTGGGCTTTGTTCGGGAAGATGTCGAAACACTTCTTGCAGCACCATGCCTTTGACCCTGCTGGTGTAGCGGCTTTGGCTGCTGCCTTGCTTGCCCTGTGGCTCTTGCTCATCTGATGGCCGGACGGCATGGCTTCGATTCCACACAGCCCACAAGGGAAATCTGATCTGCGCTCTAAGCTAACTCCTGCTGCTGGGGTGGCGGATCAGCACACACACACACACACTGACAATATCATGGCGAATCTTCAACATCACGAACAACGCAACCCTTTGGATTTTCTGCCCGGCAGGTTCTGTACAGCCCAAAAGTCTGTAGACCGGACGTAGGCGTCGAGGGTCGCTGCTCTGGGAGCCGGCTTCAGAAGCGGCCTCCGTGGGCACAAAATGCGCCCCAATCTGTCCAGGGAGGCGGCATGGGCTCTGATGGCAACCTCCTCGACCGAGGCTCAACGGACTCACACGGTTGCCCAAAGCATGATGCCTACCTACATGTGCTATTCCGTTCTGTGCTGGCCTTCTATGGCATCTTCGCAACAGGACCATGGCTGAAGAATGAGCTTGGCAAGATCGACTGAAGACAACCAGTTGCAGAAAGTAATGAGTGTCGTCGTGCGAGAGTACTAGACCTGCAACCTGATAGCACTCGTCGTCGCCATAGATTCGTGTGGAGGAGCGAAATGTAGTGGCAGCCCTGCAAGGAGGACACAACTGTCAGAGATGAAAACACGAACTGCTCCATCATGTACCAACCTTTTTGCACCAAGGCCAGAGGCTCAGGAACTGCAAACTGGCTTTGTACTGAGCCAAAGCTTTCGCTTCTCTGACCACGATGGTAGGGCCAGTGCGAAGCTCTGGAGCTATCAGCCTTGTGCTGGTCCAGTGGCGGCACAGCGGAGCATTTGCTTCGCGGAGCCCTTCAGGCCACATCCAATTGCTGGATAGTCTGCGCTTAATGTGCCCCCATATGATAGGCGATGTCTAGTGCTAAGGTGGGAAAGTCACAAAAGCATCACTTGCGCAAACGTGAAACCTCAGCCTGCCGCTTCTCCTGCGCTCGAGGATTTGATCGAAAAACTTCTTCACGTCCTCCTGCGCCCTGGCAACCTGGCACTAGCAAGTGATGACCGCAATTTCCTTCAGATCCTTCAGCGGTTCTCAACATACTAAACTACCGGGGGGTAAGGGCGATGCGAGAAGACACGCATTGAAAATGGAATGAAGACCTCACTCACTCCTACTTCTGAGGGCGGTGCGGGGACAAAATTGTATACTGCAAGACATGACTCAAGAGAGCTCAGGCAAATTCATGGTACACTAGAGGGGGCCTTTTTGAGGGCTACTGCTTTTAACTAGTCGTACTGGCTTTTTCGGGAATTGAGGGTGCAAGTGTACCGGCCGTGCTCAGCAACGGGCGGCCTTTCTTGACTAGGAGCCCGGTCCGGCACGATTCCCCAAAATCCGAAAGGACTAGATGAAATGTTGCATCTTCCATCAGCAGCATATCAGCTATAGTTTTCCAAGTAGCCGATCCGGCACTCAAAATTCCATCTGCCGCTGGTGCGCAAAAAACAGAATACGATATGCTTCAGATTCACTGGCAATGTGTAGGCTAGTACAGAATTGCACAGGTTTCTACAGCGCAGTGGCGAAGTTCGACCTGCTTCTCTCTCTTGGGATACTCTTTGAAGCTATATGGCGCCGCACCTCTTCCGCAGAGAACCCGGCTTGTACAACCCATCGGCTCTTGGAGCCTTGGGGCCTCTCCTTAGATACTTCGCTCGTCTACGCGCTCATCTCCTATAATCCGCCGAGCCTCGAGCTAGGTTCCCCGCCCCCCGCCCCCGAACCCTGCCCCCCCCTCCCCCCCGCCCTCCCCCCCGCTCCCCCCCCCCGCCCCCCCGCCGCACCCCCCCCGCCCCCCCCCCCGCCCCCCTTTTGCTTGAGGGACCCGCGTGTGAGCATTATGTTACGAATCCTGTCCAAGCCGAAACGTCGGAACCTTCAACCTTGAGCCTTGCACTCCAAACCCAAAAACCCTAAACCCCAAACCGCAAACCTTGCCGGAACCCTAAACCCTAAACCCAACCCTTATTGCTTGGGGTCCAGCGACTTTGGGCGCTGCGGAGTAACCATGCTCACGCGGATGGGCCGAGGCGGGTCACGTAGCGTTTAAAATTATGCCATGGGGTCAAGACTCTCGAGCTTTCCCCTTCAAGCTTGCCATGTGGGGTATACAACAATACAACGTTACGAACTGTGGTTAGTTTGCTACTGTAATACACGATGGTATGGTATACCATATGCCACAGAGCATTTCAACCTCTACAAGATGTTGGTGTACAATCCTCCATCCGAGAGTGCTGAGACGCTGGCGACAAGTTCCAGGCGGCACTGAGCCTGCTGCTGTCTTGCAGGCAGCCTCCGAGATGCAAAATGATGTGCTGCATTATGGAAATCCGCCGACACCTGAGGGGGGGAGAGGCGCAAGTGAAAAACCGTGCTCGCCAAAGCCAAAGATTGGAGTACCCAGCACTCCTATCCCCCCTTACCACACCCTGTGCCTCGAACTATGCCCCCCACCCACCGCCCCAGGTCGAGTCCAACCCACACCCCCTACACCTGGAAACCGCTTCAGAGTTGTTTGCAATATATGCATGACCCCCTGTTGCAAGGATGACGCGCCGCAGCAGCGAGCTCCAACGGAAGCTCCAGCTATCTTGTTTCGATCCATGGCCCAGTTACAGGTCCCTGGAGATATCTTGAACAGTTTGCAGCAATTGGCGAGTGTCAATCCTGGAGGCCAACATTCTCTTGACAACTTGAGACGCGGGGTTAGCTTGTTGGAGTCAGAGCTCACAGGAAGGACTGAGAAGCTTTCAGCTGCTTTGGCGGCAGTTGCTGAGCTAGGCCACTGAGCGGGATGGCGTTGGAAGGCCAGGTGAATCACGCAGCCGGCGAGCGACGTCACATCCATTCCGAAGTTGCAAAGACGGAGAGTGAGCATGACGATCACTCGGCACGCCTCATGCCACTGGAATCTGCTGTGGAGAAGCTTGGAAAGGCTTTAGAGACACAGAATCAATCCATCCAGGAGGTGAGCGCAAGAGTCGTGGGTGTGAATCAGGCCTTTGACCAAACACGCGCAACTGTGGAGAAGTTGCAAGTGCTGATCCTAAACCGTGGAACCAGGCTGTGGTCTAAGGTGTAGTGTTTAGGTCTTGGAAGGTCACAGGGACAGAAGCAACCCCCAGCTGGCACCTCTCACGCAATCTCGGTCTCCGGTTGCCCCCCCGCCCCTCTCCTCCGCACAACCTGTAGGTATGAGGATGACAGGTACAAGGTTCGAGGTTTCGCTTTTTGGGGGGCGGGAGCCGGCCCGTGCCGCTGGGCCTAAAACATCTATAGTACACTATAGCACACTGCACTACACTACAGCGCACTTCATATAATAATGTCTTCGGATGGCGTGCGCTCGGAGGTAGTGCTCATGCCAAGGCGCATCCGAGACACCATCACGCCTTTCACGGCAGCAACCATTGAGGGCCTCATGTAGCGTTTGAGCGGTGCTCCATCTAGTGTAGTACTACATGATCTGATGCTTTGCAAGGACGGAGAGGAGCTGTCTCATTGCTTGTGTGAGAGACTAGCTTTCCTACCCTTGCTAAAGGTGCAAGAAACGGCCAGAGTGTTCTATCGAAAACAAAGAAAGAGGAGCCCTTTCATCTTTCATTGAACGATAAAACACAGCCTCCTGATTGATGTTTACAATAGCATGTCTTTCCTGTGTCAATTTCGGAAACTTCTCTTCATCTAGAAAACCTTCCTACCCCTGCAAGCGTAGCAGATATCTCCCACACTGTAGAGGAACAACCAGATCCTTCTTGGTAAAGAAAGACGAGATGTTGCCTATCCTGCAAGAAAGGGTGTGCGCTCTGGCGGCCTATGACACAGTTGATGGAGGAAATTTTGAACCGCTTTGAATGGCCAAAGTAGAGACCCCGCGCCCTTTTTAATATTGACTGTTGATCCTCGGAAGTGCCATGGGTTCTAATGACAAAAATCTTGCCCCACCTCGGTGTCCATCATCGTGTCACTTGTTCTTAATTCGCCTCGGCTTCCTGCCGAGAAGCGTCTGGAGCAAGCAGACCCGGATCGGGCCTTCTTCCCCCTGACCCAACCCCTCCCCCCACAAAAGATCAAACACCCTTATATAACCCCTTTAACCTCCCTACGAGCCCCGGACCTGGACCCTTCCTCCCCCTTTTTGCAGAAACCCTCTTTCCTCCTTTCCTGTCCTGGGGCCGGCCCGGCTGCCGAGGCGGCGCGCGCAGTTTACAATTTGGCGGCGTAAGATTTCCTCCATCAACCGTATAGACTACTAGGCCATGGCAGTGCATACTTTATCTGAAGCTCCGAACATCACCAAAGCTGTATACTGCCAAGCTGTATACTGCGCTACAGGTCTCTTCGAAACCAAGGCTCGCTCAATAGTGCGTTAACTTCCTTGCCACATCAAACTTGTACTTTGGTGCAGAAAACATGCAAGGGGCCGCAGGCCGTCTCTGAAAGCGAAAGCCTAGACCGTCAAACAAATTCCCTGCGAGCGCTGGGCAGCTCATGCACAAGTCCTGGCCTCAAGAGGCTCTCCAAAGACTGAACTCCTGCACAAGCATCTGTTGAAACATGTACTGTATGCGGCCAACATGGTTCGTAGTATGAAAATACAACCACCACGGATAAGAACATGTGCCATGTAAAGGCCATCTAACACGGCGAAGCGGCGAAGACAGTGGCGCTGTTCAGAACATGAGAGTCTACCATATAATCAAAGCGACATCATAGTCATCATTCAGTATACATCATATAATCATATACCAAGTGCAGCCTACGATTTAGCAAAGGACATACTGTATAACTTACACCATGTTTGGCAAGTACAAGTCCAGGCCTGCCGGGACCGGTCCCAAGAAGTACAGCACCTTAGTGGAAGTCCGGGTTGGTCCGATTCTTTTGTGCGCCAGCCTACGATACTGCATTATGATCGCCACACTAGAAGTAAGACAGGACCGAAATCTAGTATCTAGCTTCTGTCGCAGCACATAGTTCCGAAGGCCTTCTTGCAGGCACATCTTGGTGCAACTTAGGCCAGCGACCACCACTGACGGCTTCCCATCTGCGAATGGCAGGTCCACCTCCAGCTCTGGCCTGGGCTTCATCTACGCGAAGCTCCGTGAATGCGAAGGCAAGGCAGTTGCCAGAAGCACACACACACACACCGAGACACGCAGTCAAATTTGTGAGATCGCTGCTTCGGCAAATCCCAAGGAGGCCAAGCTCGCAGGCAGTTGTCCCGACGAGGCTCGGAGTTGGGTTTACCATGAAGTTCGCAAATCGCAAAGGTTCAGGGAGCTTGCGGAATTGTTGTTGCTCTGCTTGGAAACTGCGTAAGTGTCCGCCATGCGCAGCGAAGGTTCCAGCACGATGCGCGCAAAAGGCAACAAGAGAGTTTGTTGATGTACTTCAACCGTTTGTAGAAAGACCAAACCGCTCTGCATAGGGTGTGCACATATGCTGCCTAGGGCCTCGACCACAGTCCAGGGGCGTTCTCACCCATTGCCTCAAGGCATCAGAGCAAGCCTTGCTATAAGCCACTGTGAAGCCCAGAACATGAAACGGTCATAAACAAGCAGAGGCCTGGAGAACGAAGGTGAGAACCATTGGGAACACCATGGCTGAGGGTTTCAACATTGTCGAACTTGCCCGACCCCAGTGGCCCGGAATCAGTTGAAAGGGATTTCCACGCCACATTCTCCGCGCGCAGGCATGCTGGACACTGTACAGTTGAGAGGTCTGAGTCTATGCAGCAACCCCAAAAAGGCCCAACACTGAAAAAATCAGGCTGAACCGATTGGAGTCCATCTCAGAAATCACTTGCCTGGCCCATTCGGAGCCCATCGGCCTGATTATTGGCCAAGGGCAAAACCATCTCTCTCACACTCCGGAACAGCGGCGATGAGGTCCGCGGCCCTACCTGCGTGGCAAGGTTTCTTTGCACCGAAGTCGCGAAGCCTCAGAAGAATAGAACGACCTAACACAACAAGCCAATACCCAAAACAAGCCAGGCCGAGCCTGCGCTAAGCTGCCCGAGCTGCTGAAGCGAGGCAACAAGGTAGCACAGGACGTCATGGCGCCCGTACTGCTGAGCCACCTGGAGGAGGCCAAAAGAGACATCGGCGCCAGCCTCAACCAGGCGCTGGACGAGCGCCAGCGAGCCCTGCACCACAGCCTCGCCCAGGGGCGTCCTGCCATTCACGCTCAGGTTCACGTCCGCCCCCGCCTCGAGCAAGAGCATCACCGTCGCAGCTCGGCCATAGCGGATGGCCACGTGCAATGGCGTCCCTGCAGTGTCAGGAGCATTACGATGACGCAAGAGACGCAAGAGGTCGAAGTCGGACCGATCCTTCTCGGAGACGTCGATCCGAGCTCTTACCAGCTCACGGGCGATGCTCGGATCCTCCAAAGCTGCGGCCCAGTGCAGCAAGGTCTTGTCCTCACTGTGCTCGCGGGGTGAGCCGGGCCGGGCACCGGCCCTCAACAACAGTCGTACAACCTCCGCATGTCCGGCATGCACAGCGTTGCGGAGCGGCCAGCAGTACCAACCGTTCGGATTTTGACTCCTGAGCAGAAGGTCCTGCCAAGCGGATAGAGTCGGGCTACGCTTCGTGACTGGGACTCTAGGGAAAGTTCAAGAGTTCCATGCTGCTCGCAGCTTACAACAGGTCGCAGCGACTGTGGTGGATGCAAGCACGAGCATTTCGCTCGTCCCCATAAGACAATGTAAACTCTCAAGCAAGCCCAACCTTCTAGGGGGGGTCCGTATCGCAAAGAATAACTTCGACAACCGTGCACAGAAAAGCTGCTTCAAATAAACAAACACAACAAAGCCAAACTTCGGACAGGTAGCTACGGATACTTCACTCTCCGCAAAATTCTCTGAGGTTGGGCACTCCCGAGATAATCATCGGTGGGAGCCCTGTGGGCCTCTGGGGTGGATCTCTCTGAAAACACTCACGGATCTCTCTGCTGGCTTGGGCCACTCGGCGGGATTCTTTGCATACTCGGCGGGACTCTCTGCGGGCTTTTCTGAAGAATGGCGCTCCCCAGGGTTGTGTTCTTTGCAGGCTGTTCTGGGTGGGGGGGAGGAGGGCACTCCGCGTGATTCTCTGCGGGCCACTCACACAAAGAAGTTGCTGCTAAGTGCGATGCTGTCCTCCACTTCGGCCACATTCCCGGTCGTGGCAGCCTTGCACAACTCGGCATCGTTCTCGTTGTGCCCCTGCACCTGATACGCAATGCAGCACATCGAAAACTAGACATCGCCACTCTGCAATGGTCTTCTGAATACGGCACAGGATAGTGTGCAATTCAAGGCCAACATCCATACTAGCACTTGGGCCAGCAGGACCTTGTACGCTGTGCCTGCACCATCTGCAACCACTGGGGGCACCCCAGTTCATCCCAGCAAGTTGGTCGGAATGGCAGGTCTCCATCATCACTGACCAGGTGAATCTGGAAAGGGCTGCAGGTGCGCCTCGGCAGTGCAAAGTTTGCAGGAAAACATGAGAACATGAAGCGTAGCGTTTTGTTGCATGCAATTGGCTCCTTTCGGATAGAACAGTGCAGCCACGAGGCGTGTTGGCAAGCTCCGATCGCATGTGCATCACAGCATCCGGTTGGGTGCTGAGATCATTGTACCTGATGCGCTGCACCTAAGTATGCCATCAGTCCAGCGCATCCTGCCAGCACTCTGAAACAAGTATTGGCTGCAAAGGCGCTTCCATCCCGCTCATCGCAAGCAGCAACACCTCCCTGTCCCTTGAAGGCGCCACCGAAGGGCCAGCAGCCTTCCATCAAGATTCCGTAGATATGGATATAGATGCCCTAGAAGTTCACATGGCACATAGCTACAGAGGGAGGGACAGAGGCAGAGAGGGAAAGAAAGGGAAAGAGAGGGAAAGAGATGGAAAGAGAGGGAAAGAGAGGGAAAGAGAGGGAAAGAGAGGGAAAGAGAGGGAAAGAGAGGGAAACAGGCGGAAAGAGCGGGAAAGAGAGAGAGAGAGAGAGAGAGCAGACAGACAGGCAGGCAGGCAGGCAGGCAGGCAGGCAGGCAGGCGGACAGACAGACAGACAAAGAGACAGAGAGAGAGAGCCTCCGAGAGAGAGAGAGAGAGACATAGAGAGAGAGATCCTCCGAGAGAGAGAGAGAGAGACAGAGAGAGAGAAAAGAGACAGAGAGAGAGAAAGAGAGTGAGACACAGAGACAGAGAGAAAGACTGAGACAGTGAGAGAGATAGACATGGACATGGAGGGAGCGCAACTTAGGAATAAAGAAGGGAGGGAGGAAGTGCTGGAGAAAGCAGTTGTGCCTGGCCTGCACGTGCAAAGTATATGCCAACAACAAGCCAGACAAAACGGGATTCCATCTACGGGTGCCTTGGCAATCTGTTGGTCCCTTGGCTGGGTCATTACGGCCCCGTCTTCGTGCCAAACCCCCAGAATGACCACGCACCGAGCTGTGCCGCGCCGTGCTGAGGGCCCCGGTTCCGCAACCTGATATCCCACGGCTCCCTATTTCGCATCAAGCCTTTAAGCCTCTTTCACGTGGAAGCTTCTATTTTGTGACACACCTCTTTAAGGCTCTTTAAGCCTCTTTAAGCATTCTGAAGCCTCTACGCCTCTATCCCGCTGGGACACTTCTCTATTTTTGTGGTCGTCTTAGTCTCTTTCCGTAAATCTCTTTAAGCCTCTCAACCTTTATATGGCGCTTAAAGGCGCTCACAAGCTGTCAATGGGGACTTCAAGGCGCTTGAAAACGCTGAAGAACAGGTGCCTAGAGGCGCGCTTAAAGGCGGTTAAAGTTGAAGGCGCTTATACACCTATACGCTTGAAGGTGCCTAAGGCGCCTAAACAGAACGACTTCAGGCGCTTAAAGGCGCTTATACGCTTGAAGGCTGGTGCGAAACTCCAGAATATGGATGGGCACGTGTGCGCATAGGCGCACACATGCGAATAAAGGTGCTTAGGCGCTTGACGCGAAATTTTGGTCCACCGCCTCCCCCCGCAACTTGATATCCAGATAGCCTCGATTACCTGCAAACCCCGAACCTCAACCCCAAACCGTGTCCTCGTTCTCGTCAACATCAACCTTCGCTAAGCTCAAATCAAGGCATTCAGCACACAAATCACGCAACATTCGTTGCCAGCAACGTGTGACTGTTGCAGCGAAGGCACCATCTTCCTTTGCACACGGCCGGGCGAACCCTGCTGCAAAAACTTGAGCAGCTACAGCTCTCAGCTCAGGCTAGTGGCGTGGCTCGTTCAAGGAGGACCCCAAAACGTGTCTGACACAAATCAGAAAAACAAAACAACCCACCCGTCATGTCGTTGGTCCGCTCGTTGAGCTGGAGCTGCTTGACTGGTAGCTCTTCGCTCGTTTTGCTGTCTTGGGCTTGGCACGCCCTTCTTCCACTGCTTCTACTAGGGTTGGTGAACATCTGTACGGGTTTAGCCGCCTGCTTATCACTCCTCTTGGGGCCCACATGGCCCACGAAAGCCAAAAGCCGTTCTCCTCTAGAAGTCCCAACACCCTAGACCAAGAAAACCAAAGCCTACAGGCGGCGGCAGCAGCAGCAGCACAAGCAGCAGCAGCAGCAGCAGCAGCAGCAGCAGCAGCAGCAGCAGCAGCAGCAGCAGCAGCAAAAACAAAATATAATGTAATGCACGCGTGAAGGACGAAAACTGTATGACGTACGCATGAAAGCTGCTTGGAGAGAAACTTCACCATGTGAGTTGTAGCCTCATTCAGCGAGTCGGCCGGCACATGGGGCGAGTTTGGAAGTTTCAAGCACAACTTTCATGCACGTGATCACAGCATATGCACGTTCACAAGCAGTGCTGAAGGCCGTTGAAGATGCAGCACGTTGGCGGAGCTTGGGTAGAGGAGAGGATGTTCAAAATGTTGTCAGAAGTGGGCCCGCCACTGTGCACACAGCACGATCTCGGAAAGTTGCTATGCAGATTGAGAGAGGGGCAAAGTCCGCTGCTTGGAGGTGACGAGATGCAATCCACGAAATCCTCCTTTGTGAGGTCGATTGCCTCACCTATCAGAGGTCCATTCTCCCCTTCTTCTTCTCCATTTTCAACTTCTGGATCATCTCCGCTTCTCCGAATCCTCTGCCTTTCGTGGCTTGCGCTGCTCCTCCTCGTGCTTTCGGCAGTGACTCCGGAGGTGGTGCCTTCGAGCTGCTGCTTGGTTCCACCTTTCATTCCCAGGTAGTCGAGTCCAGGTTCCGGGTTGTTGGGATCCGGAGCTGGTAGCTCCACTTTCTCCAGGCTTTCCATATCTGGCCCTGAAGTACGCAACTCCTCGCACTGCTTCCTTTGACTCCCGTGCCACGTTCGGGTTCTGGGCTGGGAGGCTTCCTTCATCTCTGGGTCTTCGGGCCCCAGTCCCTTGTCTTGCCCTGTACTCTGCCTGATTGGCAACATCATGGGCTTCCACTTCCTCAGGCGAAGGAACTTCCTGCTATTACAGGATCGTCGTAGCCATCCCGGCGGTCAAAGGCACTCAGGCGCTCGCTCCTCTTCCATTGGAACATCTTCTTCTTCATCTCCAGGTGGCGCTGCTGGTGGAGGCATAGGCCGTGCCTTCAAAAAGCTGACCGAAGACAGAATGCTGTCACAATTCCGGGATGGGTGGCTTCATCCACTTGTTGAACTCTTCATCAAATCTTGTGGATGTACCACCTCACCTTAGCGCCAATTATGCGGAGTCTTCCAGCCATTGAATGGCATCAGACAGATGGGCTGTGCTCTGGGTGCACAATGGGGTGTACATTAAAAGCAAGGATGCGGTCACACCTTTCCTTGAAGAAGCTACTGAAGCGCTTGTCCAACTTATCCAAATAGAACAGCACTTCTTTCCCCAAGTCACCCCAAATCAGGAGTACAAAGGCCTAAATGAAGTTTTTGCGGTTACCACTGAACTTGAAATTTTGGCAGCAGTTGATGCGTTAAATGCTGCAAACATTGCCTGTCACAACCCGACATTTCCGAAGCTTCCAAAGTCCATTACTCAAAGGAAAAGCAAGCGAATTGGCTTGGAGGTTCTGGATATTCTGGAAGTTGAAAAGCAAAGGGAAAGCAAACGGAAAAGAGTGGATGTTATTGCTGCTCCGCGTAGGCAGTTGTGGTAAATGCCCCTATTCGCTGCGCAAGCTGTTGTTTTCTATCAGTAGTGAGCGCCCGCCCACACCCCTTTTTTGCTACTTATGTTGCTGTTAAGGAAGTTGTGAATGCCCGGGCACAACTGACAATGCTTGCTGCTAGACGCTGCCTCTTGGCGCTACCAGGAAGTCATTGGCGCTCACACCTGCTCAACTGCCTTTGAACTCACGATCTTCCCTGCTACAGCGGGCATGATATTGTTTGCCCTTTTGGGGGAAAGCCATTCGGGAGAAGCTTATTCCCTTTCCCACAAGCATCGCCTCTACCAAAGCGTTGCCTGTGGTAATCCCGGTGGTATCAGGGAAATTATCGATGGCTTGGGCGAAAAGGAGCTTCTGTTAGCTTGGACCCTAATTGAGGTCATTGGACGGTTGGATGTTGCTACACAACCCCGCGTGAGCAGACGGAAGCCGGAAGAAAATAAGTGACTGCAATCTCCGTGCCATCTCTTGCGTGGGAGAACGAGCGTTAGCACAATCGCTTTCCGAGCACTTCAACCTGACCCCCAAGTGGTCCGCGCGGCTAATTGGAGCAATGGTTTGGCATAAAAATGGATGGAGGAGGGTTGATGTCCTGCTCCAGGTAATTTCTCCTAGAGCTACAACCATTGCACGTGAACTGTGCGAGCGCGAACAATTCCCAAGCCACTTTACTTGGCCGTGGTGATCTTGGTTTGGTCACTCCCGCGCTTAATCTAATCGGAGTTACGTCTTTGGCTTTAATCGCCCCTGGCTAGGCCCACCTCACTTCGGCCATCTGTACGCAGACAGTGGAGCTATGTGCCATGCGTCCACTGGGTGAGGGTGTGGATGCCCCCTGCGCGATCTGTGCAGAGTGGGCCTTTATTGCCTATATTTGGTACCTGTGCCTTTGTGCGTACTCCTCCGTCTCCTATTGACTTTTCTGTTGCCCCCTTTTGTTGCAATGGTTGTACTTGTCCCTCCCCGTTGGCTACTTGATGAGTGGCCCCTTGCATGCCTCGCCTTTTGCTCACAAGCTACCAGGGAAACTTTGTGACGATTTCAACAGGCGCAATGGCTCTCTGCCTTGACTTGGCACCAGAACAGCTTAGAAAGGTCCTCGGGTCTCCCACTGCAGGACAGCCTGGCCTGTTCTCGTATGAGAACTGTTTTGGCACAATGGATTCCGGCATTGCTTTCCACATCCTTCAGCTTGCAGGGATGATCTCAATTAGCGCGCACCTGGGTACCGACGCTGCCTCTGCGCAAATGGTGGCAATTGCATTCCAGCTCATAACTCGCTGTTGGCAAAAAGGGTTGGCCCTCCAGCTGCGTGAGATTGAGGGGCATGGCTGCCTCGTGTGGCAACAATGGGGGCTGCAGACGTTGCGCACTCTGGGCTCTGTCTGCCCAAGTTGGCGCAACTTGCTTGCCAGCCACCTTGGTGGGCCCTGCATTATAGCGCTCCCGGTCACACTGCATGCCTCCTGTAGAATTGCGATCACCTCAATGTGCAGCTATGAGGTCTTCTTCCTCAGGCTGAGCTCGCTGCCCGATTTACTACTCTTTCGTCTCCGTGCGCCATCCCATACCTTGCAACAGCCACCCCCCACGTTACTCGCCAGAGCTACGCACCATGGATTCTGGCCGGGTGTAATAGGGCGCCCTGTTGGGCCCCTACCAGCAAACAATGGTACTGGGGCGCCTCGAATACAAGAATTCCAGTTTACCACGCAAATGGCATGTGCGTTTCAGGAACAAGGTCTCGGTGCTGCTTGCACATTCGCGGGGCAAGTTGCTACGTTTGTCTTGGCCGAGGCAGGGCTGGAATTCGGCTGCATGCTCAAGTACTCTATGTGCTGCTCGCCTTATACCCAAGGGGAATGGTACCTCATTGACTCCACCCAGCTGGGTGCCGAGCTTTTCCCGCTAATCTTGGGTGCGACAGCATTTCCACTGGATCTCAATCTAGTTACAGGTTCAGGTGATTGTACAAGGGATGACTTTTGCTGTCCCTCTGCTCAGTTTCCTGATTGATTGGCCAGTTGGAACAGTGTTTGTCGCAGTCTCCTTTCCCTCCATTGAGCAAATGGTAGAGGCACATCCTGTCCTGGTGGGGTCCTACTGCAATAGGCAGTTGTGTGTTGTCAACCCGCCGGATAGTCCCCTTCCTCTCGATCTGACGATCGATCCCATGTTGCCTGTATTGATGTTGCAAGTGCTGATTGTACAGCTCATGCGACAAAGGAGCGGATACCTTGAGAATCGGGCATTTGTGCTCTGCGATGAGCAAGGCTTCGTAGCAATTTTAGCCGCATCATGGTATTCTTGCCGCGCTTTTCTCGGTAATCTGCAACTTGGGATGGTGCTGTGGTAACGTTGCAATGTGCCGGCATGTAGGGGCTCAAGTCTGAATTGTGGGTTGCGGGGTAGTTTGTCGCCCGCGTCTCGGCAGTCATAGGCTGTATGGCCGAGGGAACCAGCCCCTCTCTTCATGTGGAGCGCCTCGTCCCACTCTTGGTGCTTGTCAGGCCCCCAGGACGCACAACCGCAGCTAACAGGCGTTCTGTAGTGCACGGCAACAGGCACCTTCATGAATGTCCTGTGGATGCACTGCGTTGCATTCTCTTTGATGTCTGTACCGTTTGCCTGAGTTTGTGGTGCATAATTGAACCGCGCGAGGGCCTCTCGGAGCCTGAACAGGTGTCTCTATGGCGACAACATCAGTCTACGTGGGGCTGTCGCTATGCTCGCCTCCCTCACGTGGCACCTGGAGTTGAGCAGTACGAGGTTTGCCCTACCGTCCTTGTACGAGGCGGTGACAGTGGCCGCGGTTTGCAGGCGTTGGGGCAGCATCATTGGTGCTTGGGCTTCACGCAGGCGTTATGTGACTTCAGCGTCCGTCTTCCCTAGAACTCAGCGCGTAGCGATAGTGACACGGGTGAATTGTACCCACCTCTCGATCAGGCCCTGCCGACGTATGTTATTGGCTTGGGCTCTGGTGGGACCATCGTATACCAGATTGCAATCTCAGGAACCCAGCCGGGATTCCAGGCATGTGTGTGTATGGGCCCCATCCGTCTACCCTACCCTCTGCCTGCTCCGACCACCGCAGCCACGCAAGTGCTGATCTATGGCGGACGCCAGGACGTGGAAGTCTTCCAGCGCAATCTGCGGCATGGCCACTCGGTGCGAGGCAATACCCGGGTACCCCCAGTTGTCGAATGCCTATCAGAAGACTCGCGTTTCACGGTGTTCAAAGGCTACAACCGCACACAGTACTCATGGGCTCCTGGCCTTACGGTCCGGCAGGTTGTCATCGGCAAGGACCCGGAGCACGTAGTGTGGCCCCGGCTGCTGAGCGACCCTGATTGGATGCTGGCTGATCATATTGAGCTCCCGGAGTAGTTGCAAGGGCAAGGCAGAGGCCCCCTTTCTTTCTCCCTTTTGGATGTCATTGATTTGCGCTTGTCTGCACCTGCATTGCAGCCACAAACAGGCGGCCGCTAAGGTATGCAAGCACCTTGGGATTACTGGCTTGGTGCTTACTTGAACCTTGCGCGGGCTCAAAGTAAGAGGGGGGCATTGATGGTTTGCTTGCAGACATGTCAATGGTTTCTCCTGTTGATATTAGCCGTACTGTGACTTTGTCGCTTTCAGTGCCCTAGGGTGATTTGCGCCTGTGTATCTGTTAGTTTGTTTTCATCTCGCTTACCGTAGCATCGGATTCTGCAGTTTTCGGTGATCGCAGCCATGGATGCCTACGCGTGTCAGCATTATGCGCTGCAAGCCGGGTCGCATGTACTTCATGTCTTTGTTGCTAAGCGGGGCCAACTTACCGCGCTTGCCACTGCAGGGACTAGCGATATAGCGATGACCAAGCCCATGCAAGCAGGAATTATCCTACCCACTGAGGCGGATGCAACGGGCTGGAGCCACTGCTTCCCAAGGGAGGTGCAGCACCTCCTGCGGCTAGAATGCTCTGCCTTTTTGCGGGACAGCAATTCGATATGCTTTGCGCAGCAAGCCACAGTTCGCTGTTTTCTCTTGCATACAGGGCGGCCAGGCATAGGCAACATGCCGCATCGCAGTGCCCTTACGGGTCGTGTGCCAGCTGCACCTGTGTGTGCACCGCCTGCCAGCGCGGTTCCTCTTTCATGGTCTTGCGCAGTTGCCGGACACGGAGCGGGTAGGGAGGCCGCCCTGCCTCCCTCGCCCTTTCAGGCTCCGATGCCAAGTCAACCCAGGACTTTCATGCCGGGTGCCCCCCCCCCGCCCTCCTGCTCCCCCCGTCCCTCTCCGCACTGGTGGGCATAGATCAAGTGATGGAAGCAGGGAAGCGGATCCCCTCTTTTCCTCAGCGCCTCCACCTTCGACGCCTGACATCCCGCCCTGGCTGAAGCACAAGAGAACCTGCCCACATGCGCTTGCTGAGACCGCTAGGGATGCTAT